GAGCAAATAGTATTTTTAACTGCTTTAAAATTAACTTTTAATATAAGACACTGGCATTTTCTAACGTAAGTCCCAACTCAGACACATGTAATAATTCATTGTCATTATCCTTGTTCCGTTATTGATGACTAATCGTACGTAATTGTCATTTTTAAAAAAATTCAGGATGGATGCAACTTTGAAAGAACTAACTAGTTTAGTAAAAGAAGTCTACCCAGAAGCTAGAAAGAAGGGAACACACTTCAATTTTGCAATTGTTTTTATGGATCTTAAAAGACCTGGCTATCGGTAAGTAATTCCTCACTTTTAATTCTATTTTTGTTGTTATTGATAGACTTTTATTTTATTCATTTATTTTTATGTGGTGCTGAGGATTGAACCCAATGCCTCACACATGCTAGGCAAGCATTCTACCACTAAGCCATAACCCAGCCCCAGTTTTGGCATGTTTTTACAGATAGGGATAATTCCTTTAATGAATTCCTTTCAGCATTGTGGGAGGGAGAGTATTTATGTTATCTTAATATCTGGTTTAGCTACATTAGTACTTTAATTTTTGAACTGTTACAAGGTAGAGCAAATTGAATCCCATGTTCAGTTTTGTAACACATACTCAATTGATTTATGGTCCAGTAACAGTTGATTTCTTTTCCTGCAGAGTTAAGGAGATTGGCAGCACCATGTCTGGCAGAAAGGGGACTGACGATTCCATGACCTTGCAGTCCCAGAAGTTCCAGATAGGCGATTATTTGGACATAGCCATTACCCCTCCAAATCGAGCACCGCCTCCTTCAGGGCGTATGAGACCATATTAAATTATATTTACTATCTCTCAAATTTATTTTTCAGCCAGTTATGTAAAATAAACTTACATACTCTTTCCTCCCCTGATTTTTGCCATTAAGCCTTTAAATTCTAAACAAATTGTAATGCATCTATTTAGAAGTTAGATTTGGATACACTATGGGTATGGATATTAATAGAAAGTCTGTATGTTTCACGCCTCTGTAAAATATGAAGAAAAGTGCTCTTAGCATTATGTGTACAACTGTTAAATATATATGTACAATCAGTCTGAATGTGAAAGTCAATGGAGGCATGGGAATAGGGTTTCATCTCTTATATGAAGTTTATACAAAGTAGTGCAGGCGGCTATTCCCAAAGGTGAAGAATAAAAATACTGAGATTATGAAATTTAGCATGAGTTTGGGCTGTAGACTAAGGTATGCAGTTAGAAAAATGACCTATGACAATGAGGCAGCAGAGGCTTTTTGGAATGGTATGAGCTTCAGCAAATTGAAGGAATTGTGTTGGAAGACATGGCCTGCCTTGGTTTGGGTGCTAAAGAATAGTGTTATGGTGAGGATTTATATGCTTTAAAATGGAGGCTAGGACATTGTGAAGGCAGGAGCCAATATCTTTAAGATCTGAAAAACTGAGAAAGGGACAAAAAAAGAACCTCTTACACATCCTGTGCTGGGGACTAGTGTATGATTTGAGAGGCATTATAACACAGTGATTAAGACCAATGTACAAAGCATTTAAATTCTGATTGTACCAGTAGCTCTGCAACCTTAGATGAATTACTTGAATCAAGTGGGGGGGGGGGTGGCTGGTGGTGGTTTTTAATAGACACACTAGTCTATAGGGTTATGAAAGTTAAAAAAAAGACCTAGGATAGTGCTTGGTGGATTAGAAACAATAAATACTGGTTATTAGCCAGAAAAAAGAACTTAGTTAAACTGGAAAATTATCTTAATGCACTGTTTCTCATTTTGAAGTTTATGAACTAGATAACAATGTGTAGAAAGCCTAGTTATTTTTAGTCTGACAGTAGAAAATTGAAATCCCCAAATGATAAAAGTGCTAAAAATGTGCAAGTAGTCTCAGTAAAGTGAGTTTTATCTTGTGCATACAAAATAGTCATTTAAAATCTGATTCTGTCAAATTGGTGTCCCTGTTACAGTGAGTCAACATTTTCAGATGACTAGATCTTAGTGGTTCTTTGCTGTAGCTTACTCCAAACCCTTAGCTTATATATTCATTCAGACTAGATGGACTGAGTTACTCACCTTTTGGAGAATAGCCATGAGTATCTTCCTGTTTGTGGGGCATGAAAGGGGGGATGATTTACTATTTAGATCCAAAGGGTGGGAGTAAGGACTTTCAGAAGCCAATTTTTTCATATGGTGTGATCTCTTATCTTACAAGGGCTCTCCTGTTAATTCATGTTATTTTCCCACTAGTTTTAAAATAAAGTGGTTTAGTTGGTTTGCCCAATTCTATTCTTTGTTGGTTCCAACATGAAATTTTTCCTTTAAAGATTTCAGTCTTTTGGGGGCTAGGGATGTGGCTCAATGGTGGAGCACTTGCCTAGCAAGTGTGAGGCACTGGGTTCAATCCTTAGCATCACATAAAAATAAGTAAATAAAGATATTGTGTCCATCTACAACTAAAAAATATTTTTTAAAAAATTCAGTTTTCTACCAAAAGCATAAAGTTCAAGAATATGCAGTGAGTTTGTTATTGGCTATACTAAGAATCAAGGCTTAGCCCTTGTTTTCCTTTGACTTTGCTAAGAAGGTATGGTTTTAAGTAGTAACTGAGCTATTTTCTCAGAAATAGAAGTGGTTACCATTACAGCATCTTTCTCAGTTCTTTAGTGTCTTTCCTAACTGCCGCAATTGCTTATAGGTTTTCAGAGTTGAAATTTTTCCTTTAGAACGTGTGAATTACAGTATGCGACATTGCCCATGTCTTTTCAGTGTCTAAAACTGGAATGGTTATGCCCATGCTCATTGACTCAGGTAATGTTTCAGAGATCAGTTGTGTGTGCATGCATGTGCATGTGAAGGGCAAGTATGAGTGGGGGGAGAAAAAGTGATTAAACTGTTAGGCCACCTTGAAAAAATTTTAAACTCTTGTTATTCTTTAATAAAGAGCCAAACTCAGCCAATCTATTGTGTTCAATCAAACACAAATTCCAAACTTGGTTTTTGTGAAACTAAAAAGGGAACACTCTAAAACCAAGCTTGTCATCATAATTATGATTTTTTGTGCTTAGCTGTGCCAAATATTTAGGGAACAACTTTAACCAAGCATTATCTCATTTAACCCTTACAACTGAGACACAATGACCATATGGGTTCCATCTTAGAATGAGATTGATGCCTACTTCAATATCTCCAAAGTAGGTAGCCAACAACAATTTGGTTGAAACTTTTCAAGAAATAAGTGTTCTTTTACAGTTTCTTTTATCCTTAATTCTTTAGTCTGTCTTCCACTCACTGACATGGTTTTTGTAGTGGAATTATCTTCAGTGATAAAATTCTGCCAAGATAGTCATTGAAAATAAATAGACCCGCTTTATTCGACTTTTATACAAACCACAAATCTCTTTTAAGATATCCAGGGTTTCCAGAATGAGTGGAAGAATAGCCAAATGACATCTGTCTACTTTGTTTTTTATTGATTAGAAACAGACCATTCAACGGGCGTTTATTGTACCTGTTAGTGCATGTTCTCTTGTACAGTAAGTTTATGACCATCAATTGTTATCAGTTGACATATGTGGCATCAGGGCCTTCATAGCCACCTCTCCAACCATTGTTCCTATGAAATTCTGCTTTGGTTCCACAGTAGGAACTTTAGTTGTTTTTCATCAACCTCACAGCCACTATAGCCAGGCACCCACCTGCTTAAGGGCTGCCCGCCCTCCCCATCTCCAACTTCCCTGCCTTTGTGGGTTCTGGGTCAGTAAAATGAATTACTTCTGCTGGGTCACAGCTGCTTTCTCTTTGCTGTTTTCAGTATTTCTATCCCCTTCCTTTGTGCCTTTGGCTGTTCAGACTTTTTAACTCTATAATTAAAATTACCCCAATTACAACCAACTAAGACAATCTTAACAGAATTTGATGAAATTAAAGCAATTTAAATTGTGAATGAGGTGAACTGCCTTAGGGATTTTTAAAATCTGAATTCTGAATAGTAATTATTGGGAAGTGGCAGAGAATTTACAATACTCCTGAATACTCTAATCCCTATCCTCTCGGTCTTTCCAGTAGCGTGACTATCTTAGGTACCAGGTGCTGTGGACCAATTACACAGATCAGATACAGATTTTTCTTTCCTCAGAAAAAGGTGGACAGAAAAGTGTCATGAGAAACATTGCTACTGAAAGTAGGATAACAAAGTATTCTGGAGATGACATTTGAGCTTGTCCAACTCCTGAAAGACAGGTGGGAATTATACTCCAGAATACGGGATACAGCATGAACAAAAGAGGAAATGAGTTTATGCAACCTTATGCACTGTTGTCGGTTCAACACAAGGAGGTAGGAATGCCAAATGTACAACTTACTGTACATCATTCTCATCCTGATCAGGATGAGAATTGGAGTAATGGCAGAGCGTTAAGGTACATCTGAGATTAAATTGGAGATTATCAGGAAGACCTGGGTGGGAAATGGGAAAGAAAAGTGAATCATTAAAGCGTCAGTTTCCTCATCTGAAAAGTAAAGTGCCTGCTTCAAATTTAAGAATTAAATAGTAATTCAATTATTACTCAGTAATTGTTTAATGTTATCACTAATTCATTCAATAAACATGCTAGATACCAGGGTAATGAACAAGGTCCTAAGACTCATATAAAGGTTGTAATCTAGCAGGGCAGAAAACATTAAATAAATGTATATTCAAATAAATACTACAAATTCTACCAAGTAATGTGAAGGCCAAACAAAAACAGGTGTTAAGAAAAAAACTTTTAAAAAAGGGGAGAAACTGGGGGCTGTGACACATGCCTGTATCCTAGTGCTTTAGCAAAAGCAAGGTGCTAAGCAACTCAGTGAGACCCCGTCTATAAAACAGGGTTGGGGATGTGGCTTATTGGTCCAGTGCCCTTGAGTTAATCCCTGGTACCAAAAAAGGGGAGGGACTCCTTCATAGTGGCAGGATACATAAAGTTTTTGATAAAATGACATTTAATCTGAGACCTGATAAACACATCATTCACAACTCTCTTACAAGTTTGAAATAACCAGAAAAGTTCAGCTAGTTTAATCATAAGGACTTTTATGGATCATTTCACTGAAAAGTCCAGGGGTAGAGCTAGCTGGTGTTAGCTTGGTTGACCATGGGGGTCCTCACACCTCATTCTTCTTGTTAGGGTCTTGTGTAGGGTTCCATGCTTGGCAGGCTGTTTCTGTAGTAAAAAGCAGCTCCAGGTGTTCCTCTACCTCCAGTGTGAAGACATGTGCTTGAAAGATCCCAACATTTGAAGCTGGAAGCATCACTATTCTAAGTAACAAGCTAGGATCATGGAAGGTAGTAAAGATTCAGAAAAAAATAAATTTTGAACAAAATAAATTTGAAGGCCCAAGGCCATCATAAAACAAATGCAGCTCCCTTACAGGCAAATGCCTAAATCTTTTTTTTGCTCATTTTTAAAAAGTCTTTATGCTCCATCTCTCTCTCTAGTGGCACTGTTTCTCTTCCCTTCATTAACAAGACCTCAAAGGAGCAGTCTAAAGCCATTGTCTATTTCCTCACCCCTGTCCTCTTAGATCCACCAGACTTCCCTCACTAGTACTCCACCAAAATTACTGTTAAATCAACTTTGCCAAATCTAGTGATCAATCCTCAGTTCTCTTGTTATTTGACTTGAGTAAAGTATTAAAGTAGTTGACCACTTTTCCCAACCCCCTTATGCTGTATCACTCTGCCTCTTTCTACTCTCTTTCTACTGCTTCCTCCTTCATCAATCTCATCTGGTTCTATGGATTGTTACATATAAGTAGTGAATGAAAAGCTGATAATAAATTTCAGTTATCAGCATACATAAAGTGCACTAGAGCAGCTTTACCTTGAAAATAATATTTTGAAAACTTACACTATATTTAGCAAAAATCATACTTAAAACTATAGCAATTCCTGGCCAAGAAATAAATCAGGTTTTAGTGACAATTTTCTGACAAAATTAACACAGGTCAATGTCACAGGTCTTTCACATGACTTTCAAAACACAATTATAAGAAGGCAATTTTACCATATTGAATTTCTTAAAGCCGAGCCTTTCAAGCACCTAGTCATAACTGTCAACTAATTTCAAGTTTTTAGCTGATCTCCAAAGTATGGTAGGTCCTACTTTCCTGTTGACTATAATTTGAAAAGTTCTTTGCTGTTTTTAATCAGATGGATCTTGAGCTTGATGGATGGGGCAGTTTGAATCTGCTAGGTAGTTTTAAAGGCTCCTGTGGCCCTAGCCAATGGTACATAGGAGGCCTGTGGGCCCAGGTCCAGACGTTGGAACCTTCCAGAGAGTGAGGTTCAGGATCTGCTGAGTGGCCAAGCTGGAGAGTAGAGCTTGAAAGGTCAGCTGCCATGTGATAGAGGAGCTGATGTGAGAGAATGAAACCAAAACCCTGTAAAACACGGGAGAAGAGAGAAGAAAAACACTGTAACAGTAGTGAATGTCTGACTTCAACTAAGACTTCCTTCCACCTTCACTGATGACAGTGCAGTTACCTAACCTGGTAATTCCCCTCTTTTTCTAAGTTTCAACTGTGTTTCTGTTATGTGCAAATAGCAGTAGTCTTAAAAGAGCACTGATTAAACAAAAGATATAAATGACTTTGAGAGTCACGAGATGACAAAATGGTAACAGCCACCTGGCCATAAGAAGATCAGGGGTGATGTGTAGCAAACTAGCATTTACATTTCTAAAATTACTTGTCCTATACCCTGCTATTACTTAGTCTATTCTGGTAGATTAAGTGGGGCAACTTAACATCAGTGACTGAACTAACTACATATCAATCAGACTCATCTTAAACCAAATCAAAATTTCATAAAAAGCATATAATGACATAAATGTCCATATTCCTCTTTAATACTGATCAGTTTTTAAAAAGGAAAGAAAGAGGAGAATTAATAAATTGAGTCCATCTCTGCTTCTACCTCATTCTGTTCAGTTTCTAAATTGGATAGATCCACTAGAGATTCTACAAAGATATAAATAAACATTAATAGCTTCCAACAAGACAGATGACACAACACTGTGGATGCATATTTTAATAATTATAAGAGAGTTTGGGATTAGATTCCCACTGATATTATCAAACTTGATAATTTGGGAATCTGAGATTCAAGAATCACAAATTCTATGTCAAAAAGACAATGGGCTGGGACATAGCTCAATTGGTAGAGTGCTTGCCTTGTATACACAAAGCCCTGGGTTCAATCCCCAGCACCACATACACACATACACACACACACACAGTAGAGACAAGCTATTAGCCTAAACTAGCGAATATTGATTCTGAACTATTTTTTAAAAAAATTTTTTTAGTTGTAGTTGGACACAATATTTTATTTATTTATTTTTATGTGGTGCTGAGGATCGAACTCAGCACCTCACATGTGCTAGGCAAACGCTCTACTGCTCAGCCCCAGCCCCAGCAACTATTTTTTAAAATATTTTTTTAGTTTTGATGGACACAGTACCTTTATCTATTTATTTTTACATGGTGCTGAGGATTGAACCCAATGCCTCATACATGTGAGGCAAGCGCTCTGTCATCAAGCCTCAATCCCAGCCCATAAACTATTTTTACTATCATTCTATGTTAGTTTTAAAATGTCCTCTCAAATAATACATATTTTCTTTAGAACAGTAGAATACTCACTTTCACCAGTTTTCTTTGTCGCCAGCATCTTGGGTATTCTGTCTTTTGTATTTGAGGAAACCTCTCCTGGGTGGCACTGCCTTCACTGCTACTGGAGTAGCTAGGTTTGAGTTGTATTTTGACAAAATCTAAAACAAGCAAATTTTTTTTTTCTGTCAAGTCATATGAATAACATAACAAATATAGAAAATGTTAGAAAACATTCAAGAAAAGCCATGGAAAATTAAAGGTTATTTAAAACACTTATTTAGCATGCCTGCAGACATTCAACAGCAATGAAAACATTGAGATATTAGAAATTTAACTGGATGTAAAGGTTTGAAAGACATTATCCTCATTAACTGAGGATAATGCAACCAATACATCCCCAAGAGCAAGTAAGCCTTTACAAGCTGAAGCTGTTAGGGAAAAATCTGAAACAATGTTTAAAAGAAAGCTCATCAGTTATAAAGATCATAAAAGGAAACTCTGAAATGTCAGCATCCTTTTCCTACACAAAGAAGTGACATTAAAGCTGGGCATGGTGGTGCATGCCTATAATCCCAGTGACGTGAGAGGCTGAGGCAGGAGGATCACAAGTTCAAAGCCAGCCTCTGCAAAAGTGTGGTGCTAAGCAACTCAGTGAGACCCTGTCTCTAAATAAAAATAGGGCTGGGGATGTGGCTCAGTGGTCGCATGCCCCTGGGCTGAATCCCCAGTAAACTCCCTGTCCCCAAAAAAGAAGTGACATAAAGGGGTTGGGTTTGTAGCTTAGTGGTAGAGTGCTTGCCTAGGATATTGAGGCACTGGGTTTGATCCTCAGCATCACATAAAAACAAACGAGTAAAATAGTTATTGTGTCCATCTACAAATAAAAAAATACATATTATTAAAAAAAGAAGTGACATTAAATACAAGGCTTTGTTCCTTTCAAATAGAATTGAGAAGAATGAACCATGGGAACATGCTATACTCATTCAACTATTGTAGGTATTGCCCAGAAAAGCAGAAAAGACAGGATAAGAAATAATTAAATATCTTATCCTGGGTCAATTCTGATGACATTTGGTTATTTTCCCAAGTAGCTCAATTCTGATGACATTTAGTTAATTTCCCAAGTGGTTATCCTTCTTATGGCTTTTCTTAAGCCAGGAACCTTTCTAGAGTAGTTACTGAGACTTCTATGTGCCAGCTGGGCATGTTGGTGCAGGCCTGTAATCCCAGTGGCTTGGCAGGCTGAGGCAGGAGGAGGACTGCAAATTCAAAGCCAGGCTCAGCAGCTTAGTGAGACCTTGCCTCAAAATAAAAAATAAAAAGGGCATGCGGGCGTGGTGGCACATGCCTGTAATCCCAATGGCTTGGGAGGCTGAGACAGGAGGATAATGAGTTCAAAGCCAGCCTAAGCAAGGTGAGGCGCTCAGCAACTCAGTGAGACCCTGTCTCTAAATAAAATACAAAATAGGGCTGGGGATGTGGCTCAGTGGTTGAGTGCCTCTGGGTTCAATCCCTGGGACCAAAACAAACAAAATTCACGTGCGTAAGCAATACCAGCCAAACACTGTTAAAGAAGAGGATTGTCAAAGAAATCAGACTGGTTATTTAGTACAGTTGGCAGTTAGAAATCAGTAGTAAGACTAGTGGCAAATTTACATTCAAAAATCAGATATTTACATGTAAACCAGTGTTTCTCAAGCTGAGGCCCAAGAAGCCTCAAGTTCAAGAAACTGATATGTAATTAATGATACCCTGCTCTGAAGAATTGAGGGTGAATGACATTTCTGACTTTGTCTGCAACACTTCTAATGGAATAATGGTCAGTGTGGAAATCATAGCTGAACAATATTGATAAGAATACATTTCAAAGGTAAAGAGAAACATGCCCCATTGGTATAACATCCCTAAAAATGTGGGAAGCTCATTAAAAATATGGGAAGTCACTAGCTTATACTAAGCTCAGAAACCAGGTGTTCTTAGGAGGGCCTATCTGCCTAGAATTTAGATTGTGTCAACACTAAAGCGCCAGCACATTAGCCTAATGACAAGACAGCTTACATGCAGTTTCAAGTCTTTAATATCAGAAAAAAATAAAATTGTCTTAAAAAATAACCTGGAGAATATCCTCTGGAATTGCAGTTATTTCTGGGGGTGTAGGTGTTCTAAGTAGATTCTCATAAGAAGAAATTGTAGGAGAAAAGGGATCCATAAAATTCTCAAAGCACTCATCTGATTTTAAAATTAGTGGAGTGTAATCTTCAACTTCCACATCATTTGATGAATTATTTATTTTTGGTAATGGATAATTTGTGGATACCTAGAAAATAAAAATAAATCATTGAGTTATAGCAGTAATTTAAAAATTAAACAGTGATAGTTCTGTTGGGGTCCCTGAGTAAGCCCCCAAATGACCCTCTTCTTCTATAACTCTGTTCTAAACAAAACCGAAGAAGACAAAGAAATGGCATAAGCTGGACAAAATACCATCTTCGTTACCAATAAAAGAACCAACGTAAGAACTAAATGGAATGTTGGCTAAACTCCAGATTTAGATGAAATGTTGCCATTTCAGGCAACACTAAACTGGGCCAGATGAGAATCCTAGCATGATAAGCAAGTGTTTCCACACCCCCTAGCAAACAGGCTCACCCCCAAGAAGAAGAAAGCAGATATGAAGGAAGCTCAACTTGCAGTTTTCATGCTAAATTAACTACCTGGGTAAATTACTCCATCTCCCCAGGGCCAGAGTTATTAATAAAAAAAGAAGTTAAGATTCTCAGGTCAGCAGGGTGCCTTCCACATGAATAGAAACATGAGAAGTAAATTCATTGTAAATGGCAAGTGCCAGCAGACAGATAACCTGACACTTCAACTGATAACCCAGCACTGCGTTTGTCTACAGCTGCACTGGCCAATATTTAAGTCACAGGGGCTAAATAAATATAAATTAACTAAAATTAAACAAAGTCTTAAGAAATTAAAAATCAGTTCCTCAGATCAGTAGCCATATTTTAAAGCCCCCCAAACTACATGTAATTAGTGGCTACCATATTTAACATCATAGATTATAATTTCCATCACTCCAGATAGTTCTGTTGGATATCCCACAACAGTAGTGGTCGTCTAAAATACTGGTTGTCTTAAGTGTTCATACTGACTCTAAAGAATAATAAGGTTGCGGGGCTGGGGATGTGGCTCAAGCGGTAGCACGCTCGCCTGGCATGCGTGCGGCCCGGGGTTCGATCCTCAGCACCACATACAAAGATGTTGTGAACTGAAAAATAAATACTAAAAAATTCTCTCTAAAAAAAAAAAGAATAATAAGGTTGGGCTGGGGATGTAGCTCAGTGGTAGAGCACCTGCCTAGAGTGCGTGAGGCCCTGGGTCTGATCCCCAGCACCACAAAACAAACAAAAATAATAAACTGATGTGGTTTGATTATAATAAATTTGTTACCTAGAAAAATTTGGAGAGGAAAAAAAACCATTAAAACACTCATAAACCTGTTGCCCAGAGAACTATATTTCTACTCATTCATTTTTCTTAAAATATATACATCAATGTGTTGTATAAACAACACATACATGTAATTTTTCATATGATTAAATATTTCTTGAAAATACTCCTTAATCTGTTTTCATCTGGTTTTATGGAGATGCCTTATTGAGTTCTTCTTATCTTTCATTTGATATTTTAAATTGTTTCCCTTTTTCGTATTTCTTCCTATAACTTGTTATGAATCTTTATCCTAGGTGGCTTTAGGACAAATTCTGACACATGATTAAAAGGTATAATTTTTTTTTTAAAGTTCTTGATCTATGCTGGTAAAACACCCTCAAGAAATACATTGTAATCTCTCCTGATTTATCTAAGTTTCTAAAGTAGACTGAAATGAGAACCTCTTGGGAGTCAGGAGAGGGTTATCAAGGAACACAAGGAATCTTTTAGGGATGATGCATATATTCTTTTTTCTTTTTTGTGTTGGTAGTTTTATAAATGAATACATGTGTCAAAATATAATTCTGTACTCCAAATATATGTAGTTTATTTCATGTCAATTATTCCTTCCTAATGCTGATTTAAAAATAAATAAAAATCCTATTTCTCTTTAAGGAAGGAAAACAAAAACCTAGGTTTTATGTGAGTTAGAAAACAAACAAAAACAGACCGTTGGAGTCTGGAAGTAGTATCTGAGTCATTAGGAGAAAGATTAGAGCTTTCAATTCTATAGGCATTTACCACAGCTGTGCTGTTCTTTGTGGAAGGAATTTTCAAACCAGGAGTGCAGAATGTAGGTGCCAATGGGGAATTTGTGCACTCGACATCTAGAAGACACACAAAATGTTCATGAAAATGAAGATTTGAAAACAAACAGAAGATTTCAACTTTTAAATTGTAAGTATTGTCAATATAATTTGTGCTTTTGTGTGTGTGTGTGTGTGGTGCTGGGGATTGGAATTCAGAGCACTGTGTCATTAAGTACACCCCCCATGTGCTTTACTATTATTATTTTTTAAATATTTATTTTTAGTTTTAGGTGGACACAATATCTTTATTTTATTTTTATGTGGTGCTGAGGATCAAACCCAGTGCCTCATGTATGCTAGGCAAGCACTCTACCACTGAGCCACAACCCCAGCCCCATGTGCTTTATTATTAATAACTTTAAAAATGTAAGTGTAATCTAAGCATGGTGGTACACACCTGTAATCCTACAAACTCAGGAGGCTGAGGTAGGAGGACTACAAGTTTGAGGCCAACCTCAGCAACTTAGTGATACCCTATCTTAAAAAATGGGCTAGGGATGTAGCTCAGTGGCAAATCACCCCTAGATTCAATCCCCAGTATTAAAAAAAGAAAAAAGAAAAAGAAAGAATGCTCAGCAGGATATTAAACACAATATTGAAGAAAAATAACTCTCAATCTAGTGATCTTTACCCAACTAAATTATCATTCAAGAATGAGTTTAAGCCAGGAGTGGTGGTACATGCCTTTAATTCCAGCAGCTGGGGAGGCTGAGGCAGGAGGATTGCAAGTGCAAAGTCAGCCTTATGAAAAGCAAGGTGCTAAGCAATCAGTGAGACCCTGTCTCTAAATAGAATACAAAACAGGGCTGAGGATGTGGCTCAGTGGTCAAGTGCTCCTGAGTCCAGACACCGGTACAAAAAGAAAAAAAATATCAGTTTAAACCGGGTGTGGTGGTTCACATCTGTAATCCTAGCAACTCAGGAGGCTGAGGTAGGAGGACGGAAAGTGCAATGCCAGCCTCAGCAATTTAGTGAGAACTTGTCTCAAAAAACAAAAAGTGTTGGGGATATAGCTCAGTGGAAGGGTGCCCCCTAGGTTTGACCCCCCAGAACCCCCCACCACATACAAAAGGCAAAAACCCCAGCTAAATCCATAAGAAGTGAGTGGGCTATAGCAAACAATGTAAGCTATAAATAAACTACTGCATTTTATTAAGTATGGGCTATGAAAATGTTAATAAAGATACTCTTGTGGGATAAAAACAGGGTCAAACCAAAATACAATAACTTTAACAAAGTTCCCTTTAACTAGATTACTTTTTTCTATTCCCCCAATAAACACATTACCTCTGATTTACTACAGGATTTTAATAAGCAGTCTATTCTTTAATAAATCCATTCCACTTTCAGGAGTTCTTCATTTTCTAAAATGTTTACATACTTCATTGGGAATTGAGTTGAGCTATAAGCTACTATGAGTCAGTTATATTTTTTAAACCTGTTTAAGTGAACAGTACTTATTAATTTAATAACATAATTTAATTACATGTCAGTGAAATTAGTACAATAAGAACTTTTCTGAAAATATGTCCAAAACTTTGGAAAGATCTGATAAAGACATTTTAAAACTCTACCAATAAATTTGGTATAGATCAGACAGCAATAAATAATTATTCAGAGAAATCATAAAACTCTAGGATTTATTTTGTATTTTCTTTTTTTTTAAAATTTTTATTGTTGGTTGTTCAAAACATTACATAGTTCTTGACATATCATATTTCACACTTTGATTCAAGTGGGTTATGAACTCCCATTTTTACCCTGTATACAGATTGCAGAATCACATCGGTTACACATCCACTGATTTACATATTGCCATATTAGTGTCTGTTTATTTTGTATTTTCATTAAAAAAAAAAAAAATCAATGTTTTTCTGGGTTCAATCCCTAGCGCACGCATACACACACACAAAACAAACCTGCATGAATATTTTCTTTAAGTTATTGAACCATTTAAAAAAAATTTGAAATGATAGCTGGTGTATTCTGGGTGTGATTTATGTAAGAAAGATAATGTATAACTCTAACCAATAGGTTCAAGCTAGACTAAAAGAAAAAAAAGTACTACGGCTCTATATCAAGATTGGTGAAAGAATACATATGTCTTAAGTTAAAACATTAGAAACAAAAAAGCTGACAAATACTAAACATAATCCAAAATAATATTAAAAACACACCAGAAAATTTTATATTTCTCTTGCATGAAATCATGCTTACCCTGAATGGGATGGTATTTTTATAAAATTCGATATTACAAATTAAAAAGATATGGAAAACTATAAAGTGTCTAAGGTGATAGAACCATTTCTTTTTAATACTGTTTAAGTTGTAGATAAAAGTATGCTTGATGTTTGCACTCACCACTTTTTTCCAGCTGCTGAATTATGGGGCCAGGAGTAACAGAAAAATTATTGGTCATGGGTTCTCTTTCTAGGGTCTTCTCACTGGTGTGGTTCAGAGGGAAATTATAAAGTAAAAAAAAAAATTAACATTAAACCTCTGGGATAAAACTTAATTCTTATTACATAACATAAATTTGGACTAGTTCAGTTCTCTTTTATGGACAAGATGCCCCATGGAACATTTTTCTTTCTCTTTTATTCTTCTATTGGGGAATAAACTTGGGGCATTTGACCATAGAACTACATCCCCAGTCCTTTTTCTATTTTTTATTTTGAGACAGTCTTTCTAAATTGCTGAGGCTAGCCTTGAACTTGCAATCCTACTCCCTCCTAATTCACTGGGATTACAAGTATATGCCACCATGCCTGGCCCTTTAAGAAAATGAACAACAAAACTATTTAAGTATCCATCCACCCATACACTCGTCCGTCCGTCCATCCCCATGGTTCAAAAGAGGTTAACAACCTCTGACTTAAAGGAAAGCTATAAATTCTCATTACTTCAAATAAAGGAACTGCATACTTCATAACTTCAAAATCATAAAGTAGAACTTTACAACTAGTACACAGATACAGATTAAGAATTTGTTGCCAGGCACAGGTGGCGCATGCCTGTAATCCCAGCAGCTCAGGATGCTGAGGCAAGAGGATTACAAATTCAAAGCCAGCCTCAGCATCTGGAGAGGTGCTAAGCAACTCGGTGAGACCCTGTCTCTAAATAAAATACAAAATAGGGTTAGGGGTGTGGCTCAGAGGTCTAGTGCCCCTGAGTTCAATCCTTGGTACCCACCTCCCCCTCAAAAAAAAAAACTTGTCATTTTTTTTTTTCAAGACTAAAATTACTGGTAGATCAAGTGTATTTTCTTTGATTGTTTAATATATAAAATTGCTACTTCTACTTTTTAAGCAAATATTTACTTTTGATCTACCTATAATTTATTTTGACATGAGGTAAAAATTACTTGATCTTTTCCCACTTAACCAATTATCCCAGAATAATTTACTGAATAATCTTTACTTCAAAAATACCTTTATTATATATTTATATTATTTTGTCCTTAGATACTGTTTGCTATTTTTTTATTTATATTCGACAGCAGAATGCATTACAATTCTTATTTCATATATAGAGCACAATTTTTCATATCTCTGGTTGTATACAAAGTATATTCACACCAATTCATGTCTTCATACATGTACTTTGGATAATAAAGATCACCACATTCCACCATCATTAATTACCCCATGCCCACTCCCTTCCCCTCCAACCCCTCTGCCCTATCTAGAGTTTGTCTATTCATCCCTTGCTCCCTCTCCCTATCCCACTATGAATCAGCCTCCTTATAGCAAAGAAAACATTCGGCATTTGGTTTTTTGGTATTGGCTAACTTCACTTAACATTATCTTCTCTAACTCCATCCATTTACCTGCAAATGCCATGATTTTATTCTCTTTTATTTCTGAGTAATATTCCATTGTGTATATATGCCATATATTTTTTATCCATCTATTGAAAGGCATCTAGGTTGGTTCCACAGTTTAGCTATTGTGAATTGTGCTGCAATAAATATTGATGTGGCTGTGTCCCTGTAGTATGCTGTTTTTAAGTCCTTTGGGTATAGACCAAGAAGAGGGATAGCTGGGTCAAATGGTGGTTCCATTCCCAATTTTCCAAGAAATCTCTATACTGTTTTCCATGTTGGCTCCACCAATTTGCAGTCCTACCAGCAATGTATGAGTGTGTACACCCCACCCCATCCTTGCCAACATTTATTGTTGTCTGTATGCATAATAGCTGCCATTGTGACTGGAGTGAGATGAAATCTTAGAGTAGTTTTGATTTGTATTTCTCTAATTGCTTGTGATGATGAACATTTTTTCATGTATTTGATGCTATTTTAATCAGTGGCGTGTTCATTGTAACTCACATGGTTTTAATTAGCATTTCAACACTAATCACATCCAGATCTTTTAAATCTAGTACTGAATTCACATTAAGCTTCAAATTATTATTAAAATATTTAAGAGGAAATAAATATTTACAGGCACCTCAAAAATCAACATGCACACACATTGCCTTTTCCCACAAGCTGCAGGTATTCTTACCTTAGTTGCTTTCCCTAGCATCATCCCAAGGCAATAAACCAGAAATCTGGGGTTTATCCTAGACCCTCCGCTCTAACCAAAGCAATCACAAACTCTTATTAATTTTACTCCTTTAATTTTTTCTCCTTTCCTATTTCCATAAATATCATCTTTTTTCAGGCTTGTATCATGATTCCTTCTATGTAGCCTCTCATCTAAAGAAACCAACAGTTTGTAGTTCATTTTAAATGAAAAACGTTTGAAACATTGCATCGAGGACAAAAATTAATAAATACAAAATATTTAGGAAATAAAATTAAAATGTACCTTTTAATAAAGTTGCTTACCTTTTAATATTCTTCACATTTTTAAGTCCCATTGTATAATCTTCATTTAAACAGAAAGTATGTTCAGAGATACCAAAATGTTCTACATTAAGAGTTATACACTCAAAATCATCCATTTTTAGAGCACATTTTGGAGTTTTTAGTATTTTAACTAGTGACTGACTGGTAGGTGGAGTTTGAATTTCAGGCTCTTCCTTATGGTTGTTTACTACCTGTGGAGGGTTTGGTAAAACTTGGGATATCATATATCGCTCAAGTCCAAAATCCGAAAGTTGTGGACTACGTGGAATCTTCTTAGAAACAGAACTGCTTGGAACAGAAGGATCAAACATATCATCCTTCACGTCAGGCTTTTCAAAATTCTCACATTTAGCCATCTCTTGGGTAGAGTTAGTGAGTTCTTGCTCACAAACTAGGAGGAAGAATCAAAGAGGTAACATTCTGGTAACAGCAGAACAGAACATCTTAAATTCTATTTCATGGGCTGGAGTTGTGGCTAAGTGGTAGAGCGCTGCCTCGCACGTGCGAGACCCTGGGTTCAATCCTCAGCACCACATAAAAATATATAAGTGAAATAAAGGTATTTTGTTCAACTACAACTAAAAAATAAATATTAAAAAAAATTCTATTTCAATTATCCCTTCAGTAATTTTCTGGTATGTACCTCTTACTCATATGCCATTTTGATCATGTATTAGAGAGGGAAAGCAAACTAAAGTGTTAAAGATGAAAAATCAATACTCCCAAATTAAAGGCCAATTTCCTTCTTCGATTAATGTGCTTTACCAGTTTTTCTTAATATATTCTGACACCATTCTATCATTAATTAGTGTGAAATTAATTAAGTGTAGAATCAGCTCTCTTCTAGATTTAACACAATGTATAGTGGTATTTTAAAACATTAATTTTCAGATGCTTAAATTAAAAAGGAAAGGCTACTACACAAAAATAATTTTATCTTATTTCAGTCTGGAACACCTTTATCAAAAAACCCAGTTGAGAAGATAATGGGAGAACATTTAAAACATACATACTATCTCAACCATCTATAGATTTTATACTATGATTACATGGCTTCTGAATCTTGGAAGAGTTTCTCATTCACTGAATTCTGTTCTGGTTTGTGCTTTCTGTAAATTCTAAGAAATGTTACAAGAGTTGCCAAAAATCTGTTGTATTTATCACAGAGCTATCATTGATAAGATTAATAAAATAAGACCATCACCATTATTAATGCTTAATCAATGATAGAACTATATTCCCATTTCCCAAGGGAGGAAAAACAATTCAGAGAAATTATTCAAGGTCACATGTTATACTGGGAGAGCAAATATTTGAATGTGTGGCTGTTTCACAAGAAATACTTTATACTTTGTATTATACCATATGCACTACTTAATACACCTTCCAAACATATCCTCCGATTTTTTTTTTTTGACATTGAACCCACAGCCTCATACATGCTAAGCAAGTACACGTATGAACTGCATCCCAATACATATTTACTGAATTTAATTAATGTTTTATTTATGTACAAAGACCATTTTTTTTTTTTAATATTTATTTTTTAGTTATCGGCGGATACAACATGTTTGTTTTTTTTTTTGTATGTGGTGCTGAGGATCGAACCCGGGCCGCACGCATGCCAGGCGAGCGCGCTATCACTTGAGCCACATCCCCAGCCCCCAAAGACCATTTTTTAAAAGAATTTTTTTGTTGTTGTAGATGGCCAGCATGCCTTTATTTTATTTGCTTATTTTTTTGTATGTGGTGCGAAGGATCAAACCCAGTGCCTCATGCGTGCTAGGCAATCACTCTGCCACTAAGCCACAGCCCCAGCCCCTACAAAGACCATTTTATTACAGAAATGAAGACAATGAAGCATATTAAAGTTAGTCATTTGTTCATCTAGAAGTATGAGCAGAACAATAACAGCTAATAATTGAATGATGGACAGGCCAGGCATTGTTCTAAGCAAATTTTATGTCATTTAGTCTTTACACAATGCAAACTCATAAAGCACCCCTGCCTTACAAATGAAAAACTGAGACACAAGGTTAAGTAATTTGCCAAGATAATACAGCAAGTAGTGGCAGAATAAAGATTTGCACTAAGGTAATTTGGCTACAATGTGCTATACTACCCTGCATTAGAATTTTAGAACTAAAAAAGGACTTTACTGATTTATATAGCCAAAATCGCTCATTAGATAGAAAAGGAAACTGAACATAGAAAAATGAAATAGCATGCTGTAAAGTTTCTCAGCTATTTATTGGCAGAATCGACTAGAAATTATTCTAAGTTGTACTTCTTCATTTACAAAGGTCAGAGGTCTTTCATGTAGCATGATGCTGGTTCTCATTTAGCATGGTGAAAAAGAGAGCAAAACCCATTTTTCTATTGTGTCACTGACCAGCACATAATGAGTACTGAATAAATGTTTATGAAATGATATTCATATAATGGCAGACATAGAACTAAAAATTATGGCCAAGCCTACAGTTGTTATCATGTTGCCTTTTTAAATACTAAGCCATATTCTATAAAATGAAAGTCAAACAAACCTGAACTTTCCTTGACACGCGGATTATATCCATACTTCTGGAAAAACTCTCTTATTTTTATGATATCCGCTGAATTTTTTTTCATCAATATTTTTGCTGCCTTTATGAAACCAATGTTTTCTTGACTTTCCAATCTTGCTTTATCAAGAAGAATATTAACATCATCCTTTCATGAGGAAAGAAAATATATTACAATTTCTCTAAGTTCTACTTAAGCTAAAAAAAATTACCACAGAAATACAACAAATTAATATCGTAGGATTAATACCTTTAAAGTCTGGACTTCTGAATGAAGATCATGTAAAATTCCCACTGGATAATCATCAAAGTCTTCAATACATGTTGAAAGAAAAAAAAAGTTCAAGAAATACAAGAAAAATAAGGAAGAAAAAATTAAAATAAAAAGATTAAATGTAGTTTCTTAAAATCCTTGTAGATATTTACTTATAATTTCTCTCTTGTCAACTGCTAAAAAAAAAAGACTATTCTTTAAAACCTTTATTGAACCATAACATAATACAGCTGTAACAAAAAATCTTAAGTATATAGCTTGAGGAACTTCACAAATTGTTAGCTGGATAACCAGCCCTCAGCTCAATAAATAAGAAAAGAAGAGAAGGGGAAGGGAAAGAGGATTACTAAAATTTGACAAGCCCACTTTTAGTCCCTCTCTTCCCTTGTTGAGAGCCATAGACAACTCAAGATGGCACTTTGCCAAGAGGAATGGTTTGAGAAGTAATACCAGCGAGCCATTAAGATAACGGAGATTCCTTAATGACTGACTGCTGTGTCTAGATTATGTCAATTAAATTAAGCTGTGTATAATTAAGATGATGAGGATTCCTTATTGGTTGACTGCTGTATCTAGTTTATGTTAATTAAGTTAAGCTGTGTTTTCAGTTGTGCATATATACCCCTACTGTCCTACAATAAAGCGGCTCCCGCTCCTGCTGTATCAATCTTCAAAGTTCCTTGTCACTCACCCCCCCTCCCCCAACCCGGTTACTTTACTGCAGCCAGACTGCAGCAGATGGCGGCCTGTCTGGGGAGCCCCGGGACACTTGGGGGTAAGACGGGAGCAAATCTGCTCATCCCTAAGCAGATAGGGTGAGAGGAAGAATGGCCATTTTGAGAAAAAGGAGAGGATTGATACAGTATATTTGTGTCTTGTTTTGTCTTGGTGTGTTGTATTGTCTTTGTGACGAAAATATGGAAGGGGTGTTAAGTAAATTACTAAGGGAAGGAGGCACCCCAGTGGAACCAAGGGCAGTTAGGGCATACGTTGATAAGGGCCCAGGAACCTCTAGTCAGGAAGAGGAAGAAGGTTCAGAGGAGGAAGGACTATCAAGAAAGGAATTGCAAAAGGCTACTACTGAATACTTTTCGTTACCGGAGGATGCATGCGTGAAGCGGCGCAGTGGCTGCTGAGTGTGCGAGCTGGTCACAGCACAGCAAGGACTTTCCAAGCGGGAGCTGGGACCCGCCCCCCCTACCCCCCACAGCGGAGCGGGACACCACTGCTGCAGCCCAAATCCAGACCTGACCCGGAGGCACGGTCTCGCAGGCTCTTGCTCCCTGTGCCCAGTGGCAGTTTGAGTCTGGGACACTCCCTGGGGCCGTCTGGGGCTGCCCAGGACACTACAGCCATGGCTCGGGGCGGGTTCCTCATCACCCCCCTCCCTTACTTTGCTGCAGCCAGACTGCGACATTCCCCCCAAGGGTAAACCTTACTCTGAATTCTAAAACCATGAAGTGTTTTACCTGCTTATGAACTTTCTTTAATGAACTCAGATAATATGTATGTTTTTGTGATTGTCTTTTTTCATTCAACATTTTACATGACATTCCTCTGTTCTTATCTAATCCATCCATGTTCGTTGCTAAACAATATTCCACTCTACAATATATCTATTCTATTGTTAAAACTATTATGAATATTCTTGCTTTGAATTTTTCTAGAACATCTTTTTTAAAAAAATATTTATCATATGGTTCTTTAGTTTGTTAATTGCAGTGTTTGGGATTGCGCGTGCTAGGCAAGTGCACTACCACTGAGCCACATCCAGCCTTAGCATGTCTTTGGGGTAAAGAATTGTGCATATATTGGCAACAAAGATCTAGAATATGTGCTGTATTATGGGTTATACATATATTTAATTCTAGTACATAATGCCAGATGGTTTTCCAACTTGCTGTTACCATTTACACTCCCAACAGCAGTGCATGCCAGTTCCAGTTTTTACACATCTTTACAAACACTTGGTACTTTCCTCTTTTCAATTTTAGTTATCCTAATAGCTATGCAATTGTACTATATTGGGATTTAATTTTCATTTCCTTGATGACTAATACATTTGATGCTTTTTCATATACTTAATGACTATATGAAGATAATTTGAAGTAAGGCTTGAATTTTTATATGGTATTATCTGCCTTTTTCTTATTAATTTGTAGGTTTTTTTTGGGGGGGTGGGGGTACTGGGAATTGAACACAGGAGCACTTAACCACTGAGCCACATCCCCAGTCCTTTTTTTTTTTTAAATTTTGAGACTGGGTCTTACCAAAATTGCTTAGGGCCTCGCTAGATTCCGAGGCTGGCTTTGATCTCACAGTCCTCCTACATCAGCCTGCCCAGGCACTGGGATTACTGGCACATGCCACCATGCCCAGCTACTCTATACATTTTGGATATAAGTCTTCTGTCAGAAACATGTATTATAATATCTTCCACTCTTTACATTGCCTTTCCACTCTTTTTTTTTTTTTTGTACTAGGGATTGAACTCGAGGGCACTTGACCACTGAGCCACATCCCCAGCCCTATTTTGTATTTTTATTAGAGACAGGGTCTCACTGAGTTGCTTAGCACCTCGCTTTTTTGCAGGCTGGCTTTGAATTTGCCATCCTCCTGCTCCTCCTGAGTGGCTGGGATTGCAGGCATGCACCATCACGCCTGGCTTCCACTCTCTTAATTTTAATAATGTGTGTGTGGGTGGGGGGGGGCAGGGTTGCTGTCAACTAAACAAGGGGTCACACACTAATTAGTTAAGCACTCTATCACTGAGCTATATCCCTCCTTTTTTTATTTTATGAAAGGTCAAGCTAATTGGCCAGGTTTGGCCAAGTTAGCCTTAAACCTGTGATCCTCCTAAGTAGCTGAAATTACACACATGGGCCACCATATATAATTTCTTAATCCTAAAGTAGTCCTATTTGCCGAATTTTCCCTTTATGATGAATACTTTTTGTTTCCTACTTTAAAAATCCTTGCCAATTATAATACATGTTTTTTTCATGTTTTCTTTTAACAGCTTTATGTTTTTTTCTTTTGCATTTAGAGTTATAACCATCTGGAATTTTTTTTTTTTTTGTACAGAATACAGTAAGGATCAAGATTCCATTCTTTTCTTCTATGTAGATAACCATCCAATCAACCTGACACTGCTTCCTCAAGACATTTTTGAGTTGGGAATGTAGCTCAGTGACAGAAGACTTGCTGAGCATGCATGAGGTTCAATACCCAGCATTGTGTAAAAAAAAAAAAAGATATCCTGTACTCACTGCACTGTCTCTTTTGTCATTAATCAGTTGGTCACATAGTGATTAAAAGTAGTTTTTAAAAGAACTCTATTTCTCTTTTCCGAAACACATTCACTTTGATGATCTCTTTCTTTAGCTGTTAGGAGTTCCCAATTTTCATTAGGGAAATGCAAATGTGCAGTGGCCCAGGCCTGTCAACCCTGATACTCTTGAGGCTGAGTCAGGAGGATGCTGAGTTTGAGGTTCGAATCTAGCTTATGCAACATAACAAAATCCCCTTCTCAAAAAAAAAAAAAAAAAAAATCCCAAACAACCCCAACCATGATGAGATTCCACTTCATACACACTAGAGTAACTACAATCAAAAAGACAGATAATAACAAATATTGGTGGGGATGTGGAGAAACTGTAACCCTCATTGCTGATGCAAATGAAAATGGTGCAGCTACTTTGGAAAGCAAATTTGCCTTTCTTCATAAAATTAAATATAGGATTACCATGCAATTCCACCTCTAGATATATATATATATACACACACACACACATATCCAAAAGAACAAAAAAATGTGTTCATATAAAAACTTGCACATAAATTTTTTTTTTTTTTGAGAGAATTTTTTAATTTCGGCGGACACAACATCTTTGTATGTGGTGCTGAGGATCGAACCGGGGCCACACGCATGCCAGGCGAGCGTGCTACCGCTTGAGCCACATCCCCAGCCCACACATAAATGTTTATAACTGCATTATTTACAACAGCTTGAAATAAAAACAACCCAAGTCTGATGAGCAGATGAACAAAATTTGGTATATCCATACAATTGAATATTATTCAGCAATAAAATGAAATACTGACACACATTACAACATGAATAAACATGGAAAAATTATGCTAAATGAAATAAGCCACTATTTCAGTCACAAGAGACTACATGTTATGAGATTCCATTATATGAAATGTTCAGAATAAGCAAATCCAAAACAGAAAATAGATTAATGGTTACCTAAAGCTAGTGTGGTGGGTGGGGATATGGTTATGGGGAAGAATGGAGGCATGGAGGATTGTTTTGGAAGTGACAAAAATTTAAACTTTTTATTATGACAGTTGCACAAATCTGTGAATATACTAAAAATCACCGAACTAATTCTTTTAGAGTAAGTTCTATTATATGTAAAATGACATCTCAAAGATATTTAATAGTCAATCAATTTGAGTAGGGTGTGGTGGTGCATGTTTGTAATCCCAGTGACTCAAGAGGCTGAGGCAGGAAGATACCAAGTTCAAGGCCAGCCTCAGCAACTCAGTTGGGTCATAAACTTAGCAAGACACTGCCTCAAAAAAAAAAAAAAGAGAAATAATAAAAAGGAGGCCGGGGATGTGGCTCAAGCAGTAGCGCGCTCGCCTGGCATGCGTGCGGCCTGGGTTCGATCCTCAGCACCACATACAAATAAAGATGTTGTGTCTGCCGAAAACTAAAAAAAAAAAAAAATTAAAAAATTCTCTCTCTCAAAAAAAAAAAAATAATAATAATAATAAAAAGGTTTGGGAATATGGCTCAGTAGTTAAACACCTCTGGGTTCAATCCCAGGTACCAAAAAAAGTCAGTCAATTTGGGGCTGGAGGTGTGGCTCTGCACTGGGTTCATTCCTCAGCGCCACAGAAAAATAAATAAAGGTATTGTGTCCAACTACAACTAAAAAAAAAATAATATTTTTTTAAAAAATCAAGGGCTGGGGTTGTGGCTCAGCTGTAGAGCGCTCACCTAGCATGTGCTAGGCCCTGGGTTTGATCCTCAGCACCACATAAAAATAAATAAAATAAAGGTACTGTGTCCAACTACAACTAAAAAATAAATACTTTTTAAGAAAGTCAATCAATTCAATGATTCATCAATGTAATCATAAAAGGTGAAATTGTGATCATTTTCTCTAATTACCACAATTTCATGTTTTCTATAATACATACCAACAGTAGTCTTGAGTGCTAGTGTTTGTGTTGGCAATATAATTTACTGGGGAAAATACAGACGTTTATTGTAACTGTGGACACTACAGGTAAGACAAAAGTCACTACACATGTATAAAGAACAATGCTAAATAGCTGCATTTTAAAAAAGAAATTAACTTTTTACATGGTTTTTACTGATAAGCACAAAACACGACTTGAAGGCACATCATGTATAAATGTGTGTACATTTATGAGCTCAACCTGGCAATTTAGGATTTTATTCATAAGGGCTGTTCTCTCTTTTACAATAATAGTAACTAACATAATAACAAGCTACTTTCATCACATGAGAAGAACACTACAGTGGGTTGGGGTTGTGGCTCAGTGGTAGAGTGCTGGCCTCACATGTGTGAAGCACTGGGTTCGATTCTCAGCACCACATACAAATAAGTGAATAAAATAAAGGTCCACCACCAACTAAAAAAAATAATAATTAAAAAAGAACAGCACTATGGTTATCCATGGAACTAAAACCGGACACATCTATGCAATTGAGGAGCATAAGAATAAATCACGTCCCATAAATAGTTCAATTATTATGTGTCCATTAAAAAAGAAATCATAAATGTGGCACTTGCATCCCGCAGAGCTATGTTAACGACAAACGTTGAGCATTTCGATAGACGCAGCATCCGCACCGGTATCTCTCTCCAAGCACTTCTAGCCACTGTCAGTAAATAAGCTCTTCGGTCAATCGGTACATTTTTAGTAGCGGGTACCCTTCCGGCCGCCGCCCGGGGCCGGTCCGAGTTGCGGCGAAACTCACCAAATGCGGCTGAAAAGCGGAGACCCTCACCTGGCATGGCCTGCCCGCCCGCCCGCCTCACTTACCGCTTTCCTCTCCGTCCAGGGCTCGCTGCAGCCGGGCCGTCTCGCAGTCTAGTGTGCTGGCCAGAGACCGCAACTTGCAGTAGAAGCTCTGGATCGGGTCCATGGGTGAGGGCAGAAGAACAAGAACCTAGGCGCCAGCGGATAAACCTACGCTCCGGATCCGTCCAAACCCGCCACTAATTTGAATCTGTAAATGCCGGAAACGTCCTTGCTTCTGCGCAGGCGCAAAAGTCTTCTCTCGCGAGAGCTGAAGTATCACGAGAAGGTCCCGGGTGACCCCGAGAGGCTCACGTGCTTCCATATAGCGTTTGCTGGCCGCGGCAGGGGCGCCAAGTTCTTGGTGAGTGGCTGGGCTCTATGGGTGCGAGGAGAGGCCTTTTCCTCCACTTTAGACTGTGGTTCCTGTCGCTGTATTGCGGGGGCGGGGGTGAGTGCGCATTTTTGGCTGCCAGGACTAGAATCGCCCGTGGCGTGTGAGCCCGGATTGCGAGCCCTCTTCTCCTCTGGCCCGGCGGTCTCCAGCTTGTGTCTCTAGCTCTGTGCCCTTTCCTCAGCAGACACCATGTTCCTCACTGCTCTTCTCTGCCGCAATCGCATTCCTGGAAGGCAGTGGATCGGGAAGCACCGGCGGCCGCGGGGGGTGTCTTTGTTGGCGAAGCAGAACATGATCCGTCGCCTGGAGATCGAGGCGGAGAACCACTACTGGTTGAGCATGCCCTACATGACGGCGGAGCAGGAGTACGGCCACGCCAGCGTGCGCAGGGCACAGGCTTTCGAGGCCATCAAGGCGGCCAACACTTCCAAGTTTCCCCCACATAGATTTGTTGCAGATCAGCTCAACCATCTCAATGTCACCAAGAAATGGTCCTAACCCTGAGCCATCATCTGCCCTGTCTTTACCTGATCCTGGAACAAAAACCAAGCAAAAAAAAAAAAAAACCCTGTAGTTTCTATGTACATGTGAGACTTCAGGCCAGAATCTTTTTAAAACAAACAAACATGAGCTTAGTCAAAACGCCTTGATATTTAAAAAAAACCTAATCACTGACCTAATGTGTTTTGTTTCTTTAACCTGATAGGGAGAGATCAGGGATTTCCTGAGTCATTAATGATATAAACTATTTTACATGGAAGCTTAATAAAACTACAAACTATGATTTGGGGTCTTGGCTTCAGTGGATCTGATAGGGCTTTATTGTGCAACAATAATAGTTTGTCTACCTTCTGTCAAGAATAGTTGCCTCAACTTAAATGGAAATACGTGCTTTTCCAGTTAAACATACTTTAAAAAATAAATAACATGCTCTTAAAATTAGCATTTTCTGGTCCAGTACACACCTGTAATCCCCTGTACTGGGAGGTTGAGGCAGAGGCCAGCCTCAATAATTTAACCAAAAATAGAGGAGTGGGGGCTGGGGATGTAGCACAGGGGTAAAATGTCCCCTTGGGCTGGATATACACCTCAGTTGGTACAGTGTTTGCCATGAATGCACAAGGCCCTGGGTTCTAATCCCCAACACCACATAGACACATACACAAATCACCCCTGGACTCAAACCCAATAATACACCTCCATCAAAAAAAAAAAAAAATTTTTTTTTCTTCTGGGATTTAACTACTAAAAGTAGACATTTAATTGGGGTAAAAGGTATTTATCAGGATTGTTGTCATACCATATCAACCACCAGTTAAAGATTTTTTTTTTTTTAAGTAAGCTTTTTTTCGGAGTAAAGGTAACCCCAAAAGGGGGGGATGGGGGGTGGGGGGTTGGGGAGGGTATAGTGGTGCATGCCTGTAATCCCAGTGGCTCAGGAGGCTGAGACAAGAGGATTTAAAGCCAGCCTCAGCAAAAGTGGGGCACTAAGCAACTCAGACCCTATCTCTAAATAAAATACAATAGGGCTGGTGATGTGGCTTAGTGGTTGAGTGCCCTTGGATTCTCTCCCCAGTACCAAAAAATAAAAATAAAGTCTTCCTTATAAATTTAACCAAAAAGTATACAAAAATATGTTCTATCACATGAAAATAGAACATACATTATTTAATATACACTATAAACAGCAATGCTAAATAAATGCATAATTAACTTCTCCCTTCTATTTACTCAGTGAAAAGTATTGTTAGATGTATTTTATTTATATTTATTTTAATTAGGTATATACAATAGCGAATGCATTTTTGATTCATTGTACACAATTGTAGCACAGCTTTGCATTTCTTTGGTTGTACATGATGTAGCGTAGTGTCACACCATCTGTGCTGTCATACCTAGGGTAATGATATCTGTCTCATTCCATCATCTTTCCTGCCCTCATTTCCCCTTCCCGCCATCCCTCCCCTTTGCCCAAAGTTTCTCTATTTTTTCCATGCTCTCCCCCATATGGATCAGCATGTACATATCAGAGGGAACATTTGGGCTTTGATTTTTTGGGATTGGCTTACTTTGCTTAGTATGATATTCTCCAGTTCCATCCATTTACCTGCAAATGCCATAATTTTATTCTCTTTTAGTGCTGAGTAATATTCCATTATGTATATGTGCCACAGTTTCTTCATCCATTCATCTACTGAAGGACATCTAGATTGGTTCCAGTTTAGTTATTATTGTGAATTGTGCTGCTATGAACTTTAATGTGGCTGTGTTACCATAGTATGTTGATTTTAATTTCTTTGGGTATAGACTGAGGAGTAGAATAGCTGGGTCAAATGGTGGTTCCATTCCAAGTTTTCTAAGGAATCTCCATACTGCTTTCTGTTAGGGTTGCACCAATCTGCAGTCCCACCAGCAATGTATGAGTGTGCCTTTTTCCCCACTTGATTAATGTTATTTTTCAGAGTGGTTTAGCCCATTAGACAATCTAAGAAAATTGAAAATATTGACACTATTTCATGTTGGGACCTCTGCTGACCATGGAAGTGCAATCACTGGGGAAAAAGAAATCCCCAGTCTTGTGATTCTGGTTTTGATTCTCCATGTACATGACAGTTAGAGCTTGAGAAATGGCTTCCATATACGTGCCTGAACGGCCCCAAGATATGGCTTCTGCAAACATAAAGAATAACTCCCCAGCAACGGGGCACACATATCTAATGGGGTATTGTTTCTATAACTGGGGTAACGGGGCTGTTTCTGTAACTGGGGTGCCTAGGCTACCCCAACCTGGGGGACTCTCCGATCTCTGATTGGCCCCTGCTTTTGTCCCCCCCACCTTCTCCTCTATATAAATCCTCTCCCTCTGGCTTCTCAAACTAGCCTTCCTTTCTGTATAAATCCCCCAAAGTAGGGTTGCTACAGAGGTTATGTACAGTAAAAACTTTGACCCTTATTGCCCAATTCCTTTTTTTAAAGTTAGATCATTCTATACTCTTACCAAAAATGCTTCTATGCCTACAACCTCAGCAATTATTCTAAGAAAAAATAACCTTAATTGCTTTCATATATTTATTTAATGAAAGTAAACATCTTTTCATATGTTGTACTACTGATAATTATTTTTTTGGTGTGAATTTTGTTCATTCTATATCCACTAAAGTAATTATTGTGGTTTTGGGGATTAAACCCAGGGCCTTACACAAACTAAACATTCTGCCCCTGAGTTATACTTAGACCCTCATTTTTTATTAGTGTACTGTTTTTTTGTTACCAGCATTATACACCTTTCTTATCCCACTATAAAAGACTTTACCCTTATTTTCTTGAAGTACCTTTCATCTTAAAATAATTAAGTTAGTGAGCCATCTGGCATTGTTTTGAAGTACCATTGTGAAAGACAAGGAGCTCTATTTTTTCCCAAATGGTTAGCAGTGGTCTGGCATCATATCTTTTCTTCACTGTTTCTTTTTAAATAGTATGCACATGGTACAAAAAGGAATATGGAGAAACAGAGCCTTTTTTTTTTTTTTTCTTTTTTGGTACCACGGATTGAATTTAGGGGCTATTAATCCCCAGGCCTCTTTAAGAAAAAATAATTTTTTTTGAGACAGGGTATTCCTAAATTGCTTAGGGGCTTGCCAAGTTGCTGAGGCTGCCTTTCAATCTGCAATCCTGCCTCAGCCTCCCATTGTTGGGATTATAGGCATGCACCACCCTGACCAGCTAGAACATGGTCTATTTCTGGTTTCCTTCTTTGGGGGCAACCTTCTTCATATTGACTGTATATCCTTTCAGATATTTAATTGCACGTACAACCATAAATTAAGGTGAGATATATATGTCATTTGCAATCTTGTTTTGCTTCATACAGTCCTGCGATGAATATCCTAATATAAAATACAACATATCTATACAACTCCTAAAAGTAGAATTGAGGTGTCAAAAAATATGGACATTTGAAAACTTGATGAATGTTGCCAAACCAAAGTGCTCTCCAGAGACTGCACCAACATGAACAACTACTAAAACATATGAAAATTTGATCAATTTTTTTCAAATTTAGGAAAATTTTGTAGGTTCTGGAACTTACTTTATTGAGAACCTAGGAACACTACAGGAAAATTTAATAGATATGAAATTCATAACAATTCCTTTCTGATCTTATGTTCATTTTGTGCGTGGCTACTACAAAACAAATCAGTCTTCAAGAATTTATTGTAGTTCACTTAAAAGTATGTATAATAAACAACAAAGTGAAATAAGTAATAGAAATACAGTGTTCTAGGTAGCACTGAAGGTATTAACCTGGCTTAGAGGCCAAGAGGAAGTACAACAGAAGGTTAATAGAGAGAGAAATCCTGATGAAAACAATCTCCTTATATTGAGAATAGAGAAGATAGAGGGTTTAAGAACCACAAGTGATGAATTACTGAGTATAAACATCACCTAAATCCTATCTCCTATCTGGTGGAAGGCACTGACAAGGTGGGGTCAAACACACTAACATTAATGTTACAAATTTGTTAAAACACCCATAAAAATCTGTTGTATTGAAAAACTTAGTTCCCATCCCTGTAAATTCTGGAAGACATAGTAAAACATATATATAAGAGAACAGCATTACTAATTGCCGGTGGGGCTCCAAAAAGCCAGTCTATAAGAAATGAGAAAAGTAAAGCCATATTGATGTTATTTAATGAAAGTAAACATCTTTTTTTGGTGTTAAATCAGGCTTTTGGCCATTTAGTAGTTACTCCTCCTCTCTAGTCCCAAAATAATGTTTTGAATGGAGTAGGGAAAGGTTGGTTCATCTCTACTGGCCTCTATTGTTCTTGTGAACATTTTGAAATTTAACTATCCTGAGAACTGGGAATCAGCTCAACCTCAGAGCCTTCTGTTTTTATTTGTCCGTCCATATTAGAACTGAAGGGAACCCAAACACAGATGGCATAAAAGAATAAACAAGATAAAATCTATTACCTGGCATTTAGCCACGACTCAATAACTTCATAGTGATGTGAAGATACTCAAGATCCTAAAGTAACTTCTGAAATTATGATTAGTAAAAGCTAAATGAAACTCTTTAGGTATTAAATTAAACTAGTAAATACAACTTTATTGCACCGTGTACATATCATCTTAGAGGAGGTTTTCCTAAATTATTAGTCTATTTCTGTAAAATACTATAAGATTTTCAAATTGACCAAAATAATAATTATTTTTCTCATCTGGCAAATACCACTTTATAACAAAAACAAACAAAAAACTCAAAAACAAGACTGTATATATATTTATTTATTTATTAATAAAGTAAATATGATTTTTGAAAAAAATTGTTTAATTGTTCTGCATAAATGTTAATGTAGGTTAGGCCATCCAAAAGACAGAGTCAACATTAAGTAATGGTCCAGGATTATACAAATGAGAAATAAATACAAGGTTTATGGTTCTTCATAAGACAACCAAGGTAAACTGTATTTCAAATTTGTTTCTATAAAAGCATTATTAAAGATCACTTTTAAAATAGAGTCCATCTTTTCTTTTAAATGGGCATAGACTCATCTGCAATCATATACAAATATAATTAACTTAGCTAGTAGCTTTCTTACTCTTTTATTACAAATACAATTCCTTGCTTCTTTATGCAACCCAACAAAATAATATAGAGGAGTCATCAGAAAAATATGGACTTTCTTCATCTACACTGCATTTTAAATTGAAATTGAAAAAAATACAGTTTAGATCATTATGAAACATGGATTTCAGATTTACAGACTACCTGTATCTAACAGGTTATTAGATATGGTCTTTATTTTGGCTGAAATGCAAAAATATGATTAATTTCTTAATAACACATTATTTAAAAATATTTTTCATTGACAGCAGTGCTAGTCCTAAAACAAAATGTAAGTGAAACTTACATGTAAGTTACTGTCTATTCAATGCCCCAAATATGCAGGTCCTTTGTGTATACATTTGCAAGACAACTGAATGGAGAATCTCACATCTGATCATCTTAAATGCTCCTGTAAACATAGTCAAAATTTGCTTTCTAATAGAAATAAAATTCAAGTAAACACTGTATATTTGATTCAAACTCATCTTACAATTATACTCACTTGTGACACACTGGATCATAACCATTGAATATGTAAAAAGTTTTTTAAAAAAATCATTTTCATGTAAAGATGCACTAAGCTGTGTAAACATGTTCAACCACTAATATACTGCAGCTGCTCTTTGGTTTGGCATAATGATATTTTGTCAGAGGACTCAGGTATCAAATCTTCAAGTAAGTCTGTGCCCAGGTAAACCAAGACTCCTAATTTGTTTTTAATGGCAATGGCAAGACCTGAAATTCAACCTTGTTTTTCCTCAGTATCATCACAAATGTTCAAGTGTTTGAAGGATGAAAAATAGTAATAATTAGAAATTTTGGCAAGGCTTCATTTTGACCTTTCTCCTCAAACAGTTGATATCAGTAATCAATACCAGTTGAAATACCAAAGAGGCAGCCTTTTCCTCGTTCCTATACCACTGGTAGGCTCTTAATGAATTGTCAGTAAAATGTATGAATAAATTCAGCTAGATTATTTAGAATATGGCAAAATGTTGGCTGTAATTAAATCAAAGGTAACTACAGTAAAAGTCTTAAACTGAAAATTTCTGAAAAGGTGTTTGTTTACTATGCTATTAAAGATATTAAATAACAAATGAGAAGAATTAAGAAAGATTATAATTCCACTTTTAAAAGTGCCTGAATAGGTTAAAGGGGAAAATTAAGCTTTTGCAATTGTTAGCCAGGTGCATGCAAATCCTCTGATCTAAATATAGATATACAAAAAGGATCAGAACATTTCTGAAAATAGTGAAGTACAGATAAACATTTACTCACTCTTTATAATATACAAACCACCAAACTGACATGTTCTTGGTTGGTAACTGATTTCTCTTAACTCTCATTCTAGTTTTCCAGAATTAAGATTAAAGAATTGAAATGAAGATAGAAGAAACCATATTATAGGACTCCAAAGTGTTTTCAAAGCTTAATTCTTCCTTTGGTCTAAAGGGGAAAAAAAATTACTTTTTAAGATTTAATAGCCGGTGGGAATTAAGCAAATCCTTCAAACTATAATCTTGGAACATCAGCTATAAAATTTATGCTAGATTTAAACAGTTATCCCTAGTATACTGGTTAACATTAGAAGAAACTGCTAAAATATTTGTTAGAGGGATGAAAAACAAGGTTATTTTGCAAAATCAGGCATTGCAGAATGTTAGAAATCATCCAGTCCAAAATATTGAGGACCCATACTTCCATTTTATATATATGGAAATTACAGCCTCTGATACTTACTTAAGCTGCTAAGATTTCTCTCTACCCACCTACTGGAAGCAACCAATCATTTCAAGGATGTGTATCTGATTCAATAGTATAAATGAGAAGTAACATTTCTACATTATCTTTTAATATGATATTGTACTATTCTCTAGAATACAGCAATTCATGTCATTTAAGTTAAGATTTTAAAAGGAAAAGTGTATCTGGCGAGAATAAACTGCTAATAAGAAGTCAGATTTAAGATTTTGCAGTTAAGAGTAGAATCCACTTCTCAGAGACTGGGACTTTTAAATCACTACTCAGATTTAGAATTTCTTCCTAAAAGCAGTATTACTCTCAAGTATTGTTCCTACTTTATACTTTAAGTCACTGTTTATAAGTTATAGGATCACTATAAAAAGTTTCAAAGAAAAATTTAGTTATTACTTAAATTGAAATTTAAAAGTCAACTCAACAGCATGTTTTATTCTCAATACATTTAGCACTGAAAAAGAAAAAAAAAATTTTTTTTCCCAGTACTGGCAATTGAACCCAGGGCCTCATGCATGCTAGGCAAAAACTCTACTACTGCACTAAATCCCCAGCCCTTTTTATTTTATTCTGAGACAGGGTCTTGCTAAATTGCCTGGGCTGACCTCAAACTTGCAATTCTCTTGCCTCAGCCTCCCCAGGAATTGGGATTGGGTGTACTAATGCATCTGGCTTGAAAATATTTTTCAACACCTTACAGTATCCTGTCTACCTTTTTCTTTATTTTTCTTTTAGCCACTTCCATCTATCCCTATTGTGCCCAACTTTTCTATATCACAAATACCTTTGTGTTTCCCCTACCCATATAAATAACCCCTGACAGTTCAACAAAAAGTAATAAAAAAAGCATTGTACCCAAAATATTTCTTATACTTCCAAGATTTTTTTAAGCCTTTGGCATATACTATACTACATGGTTGTACTAATGCTTCTAAGCCATCAATAAATTATCCCCATGAATTCTATGTTCTAAATGATTAGATATCTGAATCATTCTGAGTGTTATTATAGCCAACAATAAAAAATTTTATTAAAAATGTTGAAAAGTATAAAATAGTAATTATAAATTAGCAAATACTCAATAAAAAAGCAGTTATTTTCTTTCTCTTATACAGTACAAGCAACAGTAATTTGGATATTATTCACTTTCAGCCACCATTTACCCTAGATATACTTCATTTAAGACAAGTTTTTAGTTTGTGTTTTTGGAGTGAGAACCTATCTGAATACCAAGAAATAATTCTAATATTGTAATTCAGATATCAAAAAAATACTTATGCACATAAGTGATGACAGCACATATTATAGCATGTCGTAACAGGTATTATTTCCAAAGTAAAATCAAGTCACTTTTGAGCTGTGAGTCAATGTTGCACAAATGGACACTTAAAATTAAGGCATCATTCTGCTTGTAGTGCTCCTGTGGATCCAGCGAACTGTACAAAGGCTTCCTTTTTTAAAAAATATATCTTCTGTTATACTCAAATTATTTCATTCCTTTGATCATTTTCTTGCAAATAAAATTGAAAATATCAGTCGACAATGTGTTTTTATACACCTATGAAAACAGAAACAATTGAATTAGTTAAAATTAGATTTTTTTATTTCTCAAAATATTAAATGGCTCTGTGGGCTAAGATATAAAGATGATACTATTATAAGATAGGAAATAAATTCTTTATTGTTACTAAATTTGTTTATTTTTTAATTAAAAAAACTTTTTGGTACCAGGTACTGAACCCGGGGTACTTAACCACTGAGTTACATCCCCAACCCTTTTTATTTTTATTTTGAGATAATATCTCACTAAATTGCTTTGGACCTTGCTAAGTTGCTGAGGCTGGTTTCAAACTCTGGATCCTCCTGCCTCAGCCTCCTGAGTTGCTGGGATTACAGTTGTGCACCACAGTGCCCAGCTAATGTTACTAAAGTTTTTTACTTTTTTTTTTTTTTTAGTTGTAGATGGATACATTTATTTATTTTTATGTGGTGCTGAGGATTGAACCCAGTACCTCACAAATGCTAGGCAAGTATTCTACCACTAAGCTACAACCCCAGTCCCAACGTAACTAAATTTAATAAAGATTTTTTAATAAACAGTAAGTAGGGAATAACCCTTTCTTTTCCTAAGGAATCAAGATTAACAGAGGGGGATTCTTTTTTAAAAAATTATTTATTTTCGGGCGGGGGATGTGGCTCAAGTGGTAGCACGCTTGCCTGGCATGCGTGCGGCCCGGGTTCGATCCTCAGCACCACATACAAACAAAGATGTTGTGTCCGCCGAAAACTAAAAAATAAATATTAAAAATTCTCTCTCTCTCTCTGGACTCTCTCTCTTTAAAAAAAAAAAAAAAAATTATTTATTTTAAGAGGGGAATTCATCACTTCCTGATGTTAACATGGGAATCATCAGATGAGGTATCTACCTTCACCTCTTCAGAGTTTGCTGTAGATGTGGGGAAGTTCCCAGAGTGTCCATTAGAGAAACTTCAGCTAGTGACTCTCAACAACCACAAGTTTCAGTCAGTATCCTGCCTACATTAAGAAACAATGTAGAAGCAGTACTGAGCGCCTCTCCAGGAACAAGGGCTGTTTCATAGCTACAGCTTTTGGTACAAGTCTATGTTTGCACATACACTTTAGTTCCTCTTCAGACCACAGCCTACTCTGCCCAATGTGACACTCTGCCAAGCCATCCCAAGCTTGTGATCTCATTCTGTCCTAGGTCCTAGGCTTCAGCTCTACTTGTGGACACAGGCACCAGGTCTGCTGTAAGGACCTGATTAGCCTCTGATGAGCCTGAAATCAAGTAAGCTGATGCTCTGCTAGTTGAGACTCCATGTGAGATACCTTTGGAAAACTGAACTGCTGGAAAGGAACTGGTAGTAACTGTGCACAGTTGTCCTAAGCAGTAAATTTGTGGTAATTTGTTACACAGCAACAATCTGTTGGTGTGTCTTTATAAAACTAAATAAATAACATCATGAACATCTTAAATCTTTTTCAGCCTGTAATCATTCTTCTCTGGATCAAATTGTGGGCAAAAATCATCTTTAAAAAAAAACTAATAAGGTACTGTTTACTGAAAAGTTAGTTGTCCACATACCAATCATAAACTATTTCTATTTTTCCTTCATTTATCTCTCCACCAAATGTTTTTTTCATTGTGCTAGGAGTAGTAAGAGAAACAAAATTTTGGCATATGTTACCCTCCAATCTTTTCTATACTATTGTATTGATATAATGAAAAAAAAAAGCAAATGTTTTGAGGTTATGAAATATGCAAATATAAACTACATTTGCTCAAGGAAATTACCTTTATACTGTCTTACCTTGGTTTTATCAAATGGTTAGTTATGAACAAGTGGTACTCAATTTTCTATTGCCACTGTAACATGATTATTTGTCCCTGTAAGCACATAATTATATATGACATGAAAAAAATATTAAGTTCCTGGCTAAATGATAAAATTGATTACAGTAAAGACAAATATTATGTAAGCACTAAATATGTTTATAGCACAAACCATTTGCCTTCTCTACACGGAGAAGTGAATAAAGAGCATTGTGTCAGAAGTCTAGTTTCATATTTAGCCCCATAGTATACAACGGCATTAAAGATGTTAAGCAGCAATAATTTAAAAGTCCATAAAATGAATTTTTCCACTTATACAAGATCCTAAATAAGATTCTAAACTTACTAATTTAAGAAAATGTTTAAATGCTGCTAAAAGCCAAAGAAATACTTCTTTCTAAAGAAGATAAATTCTGACAGCAAGTTTTTATATTATTTCCTAGAGTTGGTACAAATTGATTTTAAGATCTCAAACTTTTTTTTTTTAACAGTGCAGGAAGACACGACAATATTATTATTCCTATTAAGAAATACCTCATGCCGAGAGAAGGAAAATTGCATGGTAATGGAAGGAGACCCTCAGGGTTATACAGTGGAGGAGGTAGAGAGAGAGGAGGGGAGGGGGGAGGGTGGAGGATGGGAAAGGCAGTGGAGCACAACAGACACTAGTATGGCAATTTGTAAATCAATGGATGTGTAATTGATGTGATTCTGCAATCTGTGTATGGGGTGAAGGTGGGAGTTCATAACCCACGTGAATCAAAGTGTGGAATATGATATGTCAAGAAATTTGTAATGTTTTGAACAACCCACAATAAAAAATTAAAAAAAAAAAATAAAATAAAATAAATGCTCCATTTATTCCCTGGAAAAAAAAAAAAAAAAAAAGAAATACCTCATGCCGAGCATAGTGGCGCATGCCTGTAATCCCAGTGGCTCAGGAGGCTGAGGCAGGAGGATTGCAAGTTCAAAGCCAGCCTCAGCAAAAGCAAGATGTTAAGCAACTCAGTGAGACCTTGTCTCTAAATAAAATACAAAATAGGGCTGGGGAATGTGGCTCAGTGGCTGAGTGCCCCTGAGTTCAATCCCTGATACTGCCCCCCCCCCCCAAAAAAAAAGAAACACCTCAGACATGTATTCAGCTAGTTAAGTAAACCCAGATCTGATTAAAAATCCCACTTCAATTTTATCAACTACTCTATAATTCATGAAATGAGTTATTAAGAAAGGTTAAAACAAGAGGGGGGAGGTGTAGCTAAGTGATAAAGCACTTGCCTAGCACCTGTATGGCCTTGGGTTTGAGCCTAGAACTATATAGAAAAATAAAGCACATTCAGTGTATCTTTTCTTTTGTGGGGGCGAGGAGAGTGTTGGGGGTGGAACCCAGGCCCTCATGCATGCTAGGAGAGTGCTGTACCTCTAAAGGTACATCCTAGTCCCCATATTCCTTTAAAATATTTTTGAGACAGGGTCTTGCTAAATTGCCTAGGCTGGCCTTGACCTATAGTTTCTCCTGCCTCAGCTTCTCAAATAGTTGGGATTACAGGTGGGCCTTACCACACTGGGTCCAGTGCACTCTTAAAGAGTACTATAATTTTTAAAAATTAGTTTCAATAAGTATGAGCTAGAATCCTGAATAATAGTTACTTAGAACATTATTTGAAATAGCGTATGTCAAAAGGACTTTCCACACTACTGAAGAAATGTGTGGTTGGAAAACAAAAAAAACAGCTGAATGCAATAAAAAATATTATACCTGCCTTTCTCTGCCCCCTTTCCTCACAGAAGCCGCCAATAAACACAAACATCCCATTTATAAGACATTTTATTACAGTTTCACATTTCAGTATTTCAAAATATCACATTGTTTTGTTTTTTTCAACATTTATTAAATCTGTTGCTTTTCATTTGAACCAAATAGGTGAAGCAGTGTTTTCAGGTGAGAATTATTACCTGATCTGACAACACCTTCTTCAGCTCCATTCTCTAGCCATTGAGATTCATTGTCCAACAAACGGTTTTTTGATTCACTAAGTGGTCTGATAGGAAAAGGTTGATTTGAGCCAATACTGAAAAGAGGAACAAATAACTTAGTAAATTGTTTAATGCTAAATTAAGGATACTTAATAAATTAATAAGCAGCATATTAGTATTCCTTCTCCTAAATATGTGAGGGCAACTCATGAGATCTCAGCCATCTGAAAAAGCCACCTTGAAAAGGAAAATATGCCCACGGACCCCCCCACCCCAATGAAATGGCTCTCTGGACCCAAGAATCTGTATTCTAAAACTGCAAATGAAACAATTAGACAAAAGAAAAAAGCTTCAGAGGCCAGTCTGAAAAGTTTTAACACTATGTTAATCAGGTGCCATAAGGTAGTATGAGGACAGGTGAGGAGCTATGTCTGTGGCCAGTACAAAAAAATTACCTGTCATTTCCCAAGTTTTCTGCTTTCTACCTTGCCAGTTTAGATCTAAGGGGAAAAAATGATTTAGTGATTTAGCGTTGACTTATTTTTCTAGCTAAGAGAACCAGGGAAGGAGGGGAATGGAGGAAGGAAAGGAGGAAAAGGAATAAAAATTTATTTGGTGTCTGATGTGGGCCAGAGAGTGTGCTAGACTCTATAAATGTGTATGTATGCACATCATTTTGACCCTTTCAGTAACCCCTGGAGGCAAGTCTCATTATCTTCATTTTACAGAGGTGGAAACTGAGGCTCAGACAGTTTCAATGACTTGTTCAGAGACTACAATAAATGTTAGAACTCTAAGTTCTAAGGCCTTAGGTTGTAGGTTCTAAGGCCTATGTCTTCTAATATTAATATGTTAGCTTGGAACTTATGACCCCTCCTCCCCTATAATCTATTTCTGTCATAAATATGGCTCAACTATTTCACTTTGGCAGAATTTTCTCTAGATTCTTTAAAATTTCATTTAAATTGAACTATTTCACGGAATTGATGAAAATTTGCTTACCATACAAATATTATGAGAAAAAATTCCTTAAGATGAATAAGAAAAAATTGTTTGAATCCTCATTATTTTGATAGTATAGCTAAAAACCTACTTATCATAATAAAATGTAACTAGTATAATGACTAATTTCTTTGAAGAATACCTCACTTTTTAGGAAGATGCACCATATTTACTTGCTTCCTAGTTTGCCCAGACATTTCCAACATTTTGTGATTGTCCTAGTTTAAAATTTTTTTTTTCTTTCAGTAGTGGGATTGAACTCATGGCCTCACATGTTCCAGTAAAGAGCTCTATCACTGAGCCACATCCCCAGCCTGCATATTAGGCACATATACATATTAAACTTCAGTTAAAAACTTTAAATAGATTTTTTTTCTTATCTATGGTGGCTTACTGGATTATTGTTGTATATATTCATAAGATATGTATGTATAACACAAGTATACAGTTGTTTAGCAAAAAAAAAAAACTTAGGGACAAAAAAAGCACACCTTCTGGAATGTTCACTTTGGCCTGTAGCAGCTTGTTCTGGATCCATCCCAACAAGGCGAGTTGGAAAACTGCAACCATCACCCAAACTGCATAATGAGAAACAGTGATAACCTGAATCATATTAAGTTATTCAAAGTGGTCAAATTTAATGTCTTTCAGGAGCATGGGAGAAAGAAATGTTCTTTTCAGAGAATAATTCCTAGGATTTCTAATTTAGAAGGCTTCTACCTCTAATGAAGGCTCTTTTCTTTTATAATTTACACATAGTTAGAAATAATCTACTAAGATCTACTAAAGATCATGATGCCTAGTTTACACCTCAAACAGAACTATTCAAGTATGTGGATAATTGAGTTTTCATTATAATCATTTAAGACATCATCCAGGCTAAATGAAATTCAAGATATAAGTTCCACATGTTTATTCATTCAACAACATTCATTAAACAAATATCTAGGGCTGGGGATATAGCTCAGTACTGAACTCCTTGAATGGGTGAGTTCCTGGGTTGGTTCTCTAGTTAATATTGAGCACTACAAAACAATAAAAACCCCAATGTCATAGGTATCTGTTGAATACCTATGATATTCTGGGTAATATTTTACACACTAGGGTTATAACAGTGAACAAAAGAAAATCTCTATCTTCAAGAAGCTTACAGCCAAAAAAGGTTAAGTTATATCTTACTTTCACTTTTTTTTTTTTTTTTTAATATGGAGCTTCATGAATTTGTATGTCATCCCTGTGCAGGGACCATGCTAATCTTCTCCATATCATTCCAATTTTAGTATATGTGCTTAACATACCACAACTGTATACAACAGAGCAAAAAAAAAAAAACTTAGGGACAAAAAAAGCCAAGAGAGAATAACTGGTAAATTTGCCCATAGTCTTAAACAGCCAGAAACGGGACAGCATACAACATAACTTTTTAAAAAACAGAACAAGACTGTGGTCTCAGAAAGAAAAAAAAAAAAAAAAAAAGAAGTGAGTCCCAGCTTTTTGCCAGAACCTCAGCATCAGGAGGGGAATCCAAGCAAAGTAAGGTAGTTATATTGCATTGAGGTAACAGAGATAGGAGCTTTGAGAAGCCAAGTGGCAAGAATTTATAAGACATAGCTGAGAAAGAGGAAGACACACAGAGAAATGGCTACAGATATATCCACATACTGTACTTGAATCTTTTGATGAACAGTAAGCTACACAGGTGAACTGGGAAAAGAACATTGGGAAGTGTAAGTTGAACAGATTCACAGTTTCCACAAGGAGGCATTAAAATTGACCAGCCAGAATACAGAGATCTCACTGAACACATGGTTTTGAAAGAAACCCCACCTTTATTATAGCATTAAACTAGCTGCAGAGAAAATGCTATGCTGGATCCATCCTAGTGAAGCTTAAAATAAACCTCAAAAATCCCAAACTGAGCCTGACATGATGGTGCATGCCTGTAATCCCAGTAGCTTGGGAGGTTGAGACAGGAGGATCACAATTTCAAAGCCAGCTTCAGCAATTTAATGAGGCCCATCTCTAAAGTAAATACTAAGAAAAAGGTCTGCAGATGTGGCTCAGTGGTTAAGCACCCCTGGGTTCAATCCCCAGTACCAAAACAAACAGCAACAACAATCCCAAGCTGAAACATAAGTACCCACCTGCCAAAACAAAATTCAATTCTTTATACAGACAATAAAATCTAGATACTCAGCAAAATAGCATTCAAAATGTCACCAGCCAATAGAAAGTTACTAGGCATAAAAAGCAGCAGAAAATGTGATCTCACAGCTAAGGGGTGGGGTGTGGGGTGGAGGTGCAAATCAATAGAAAAGAATCAGAAAATCAGCAATTTCAGTGAAAGACTTCAAAACAGTGATTATAAATGTGAACTTAAAGGAAAAGTGGATACACAGAAAATAAATATGAGATATAAAAAAGAACCAAACTGACATTCTAAAGCTGAAAAATGCAACATCTATAATGAAAAAGTTATTGGATAAGTTTACCAACACAGTAGACAATGTAGAAGAAGAGATCCATGAATTTATAGATAAAACAAGAGAAACTAACCAAGATGGAGCAAACACAGAAAAGAAGATGGGAAACAAGGATAGAACAGCAAATCAGAAAATGACTTGTGGGTCACTACAAAGCAATTTAACATATATATACTTGAGAGTAGGAAAAAAAAAGCTGTTGGGGAAAGGGAATAAGAGTGCAGTAGGCAAAAGAATAAAACCACACAAACAAAAATTATAAAACTACAACAGAACAACTAAAGACATAATCAATAAAAATTTTTGAATCTGATGAAAACCATAAATTTACAAATTCAAGAAGCCTTAAAGATCACTAGGTAGAATAAACACCAAGAAATATCATCATGTTCAAACTGCTTAAAACCAGTGGGGAAGTTAAAATTTTAGAACCATGGGGATGTGCTGACAGTAATTTGCAATTTGCAGAATAAAGTAAGAGGTTGGTTGGGCAGAAACCATGCAAAGCAGAAGATAACAGAAACATATCTTTAAAGAAAGGGAGGAAAAAAAAACATGAATTCATTGATTAGAGGAAATAACAATTAGTCCTGTTCCAAACACTGGGAATAGAAAAATCTTGAACACATGAGACAATTCATAAAGTAAACAAAAGGAAGTAATGAATCTGAGTACATAGTAATAAGATCTATAAAAAATGAAACATACAAAGATGGAACAAAAATGTACATTAACTAAGCTGTGGAAAACCCTTCAGAATAACTCATATGTAGTTGATGTTGCTGCAGTAATAAGAAAGAAGATAAAAGAAAAAATGGTTAACAATTTTTCCGATATTGATGAAAACTACAAAACCAAGGCAAGAAGGTCAACTAATCCAAGCAAAAGAAACACGAAGAAAATTAAACCAAGGTTTGCCATAATCAAACTTCATCAAAGTAATAGCAACCAAAGAAAAGACACATTATATAGAAAGTGAAAAAGTAAGAGTGACCACAAACTTCTCAAAAGAAAAAATGCAAGTCAGGAGACAGTGAAACAACATCTATAATTCTATCAAGAAGAAATGTCCTTCACAAATGAAATCCAAATAAGTCATTTTCAGCCTCACAAAAAAAGGCAATTTGGTTAATTAAGGAAAAACCCTATGACTCAAACCAGTCTGCCACACTAATTTCAAATTTCCCTCCCTTTTCTATAATGTCTTTGGTATATAGATGGCCTAAAAGAGCTGGGAATTACAGGGAGAAATGAAAATTCAATCAACTTGAACATATTTTTCTTTTACCCTTGAGGTAAAACTGCATATGTGTTTGGTTTTCTTTTTCTTTTTCTGAATGAAGTGTTTTTAAAACAAGCTCTGCCAAGTTTTATTAAAGAAAAATTTTAAATGTTTTACTTTTCACCAGTCTGTTCTGGCATGCTTCTAATGATATAAGAATCACCTGGATCAATGATAGACAGTGTGCACACTCTGTAGTATTTTCCACATGCTGTGCCCAATTCAATATTATTGCCACTGTAGTGATGGACACCAGTTTTGGCCAACATGGCATAGTACTCTATTTCAGATTTCATCAAAGTGGACAATTGTTGGAGAGGATGACCAATTTCGCTTTGCCCTGTCTGATCATCTTCAGAGTTTGCTTGTAGCCCAGTACATACTTTCCTCTTTTCAAAACAAGATGGAGCCGAGAGTTGATCGACTCTAGAGACTTTTTCGTCTTTTTTGTGGCCACTATCTTCCTGCCTTAGATGTAGGAGGGCCCCCCACCAAGAGCAGCCATCAAGATGGCCAGAGAGCTAGAAAGGAAGGCGTGTTTGGTTTTCTTTAAGAATGAAAAACACATAATTCACATCCGTGATGGAATCTTTGTAGCTATGGGTGAGAGGTGTAAATTCTTAAGATTCTTTATTTTAGTTTCTTTCTTTTGATTTTTTTTAGTTGTAGATGGACACAGTAACTTTATCTTTATTTATTTTTTATGTGGTGCTGAGGATTGAACCCAGGGCCTCACATATGCAAGGCAAGCACTCTACCACTGAGCTACAAATCAAGCCCATGTTTTCTTTTTTTTTTGATGCTGGGGATTGAACCCAGGGTCTTGTGCATGCAAAGCAAGCATTTTACCAACTGACTATATATCCAGCCCTTCTTTCTTTTTCAGTTGTCAGTTGACCTTTATTTTATTTATTTATATGTGGTGCTGAGAATCAAACCCACTGCCTCACACATGCTAGGCAAGCACTCTGCCACTGACCCATAATCCCAGCCCGCAGTTTATTTTCATTTGGAAGGAAAAAGTGATTCTTATTGTTTTACAAGTCATCTTTTTTTTTTCCACTTACCATTCAAATATTTGTTCAAACTTTCCTTTACTGTTTATCTAATAAAAACATTTTATATGCAATCAATGTATTTGAATTTTCATTTCAAGGCTTGTAAAAATGTCACAATGTATTATATTCTCTGAATGAATCTTAAGATATTTTACCAGAGATATTGATTACACAGACTCCATAATTTCTCAGAACTACATTTTATAAATTACCTTGTAAATATTGGAAGTAACCAATATTTCTTTTCGTCACCAAAGACTTGTCTCCAGTTTTTACTGTATCCAAGAGAGAAACCATGTGCATCAACTCCATATGAAAATGTGGGTGTACGAAATGATTCTGTTAAAAGAAAAAAAAAAATAACTACATATATACTAATTAACGTATTTAAAAAATTATAAAATAATATAATTATTTGTGTTTTTGACAAGAAAAACTAAAACTTCAACATAAAAAACTATAAATACCATTTAAATAAACACTTGAAGCAATTAAAAGAAAAACTAGAATAATATGAGGTGAGAGATATGGCAATTATCCTAATCTGATCATCATTATACTTTTCATACATTTATTGAAATGTCACACTATATTTCATAAATATACAATTACTATGTGTCAATTAAAAATAAAATTTTTTAAAAGATAAATTTCTGAAACTTATTTGGGAAAAAGTACATTTTTCATCAATCATATAAAATAACATGTCAAAATATAATTATCTGGTATTACTGAAAAATCTAATAAAGTATGTTATATCTTATTTTACTTGACTTCTATTTTTAAAAGATACTTCCAACTTTACTCACCATTTATGAACTTCTTAATATGTTCCTGATATCACAGTATCAAGTATTTGGGACTCAAAGATAAAATGAGACAAAATTTCTATCAAAGAACCTACAGTCTAACAAAACTACATGTGAGAAGCACTAGGGACACAGAGTTCCCTAGGGACACAGAGGTGAAAGAACCCAATTTTATCTAAATAGGGACCTATGTGGGTCTTGAGGGGTCTTGATAGAAGAAGGTGAAAGATGGAGATGGTGGCACTTGATCATGATTATCTTGAAAACCAAGTAAGGGAATGAAGCAGAAGGTGGTTACAGACCATTATTTCAACCTTGGTTGTAAAGTGACATAGAGTGAGGTCTAGAGAAAGATAAATGTTTTATGAGTTTTACATTTTTAAAAACATAATGTGCTTCAGCATATTTTATAAGCTAAGGATAATGAGAAGAAGCCATGGCACTGGGAGAAACTGATGAAAGAGTAAAATTGAAGGAAAGGATCCCAGAAGAGATGAGAAGGCATTTAAAAATTATTATTATTTTTTTGTATTGGGGATTGAACTCGGGGGGCACTCGACCACTGAGCCACATCCCCAGCCCTATTTTTTTTGTATTTTATTTAGAAATAGGATCTCACTGAGTTGCATAGTGCCTTGCTTTTGCTGAGGCTAGCTTTGAACTTGCAGTCCTCCTGCCTCAGCCTCCTGAGCTGCGGGGTCTAAAGAAAAATTTTGAACAAGAGAAAAGACATCTTTCCTCAAAAGTTATATGGAAAGTGACAATGAAAGGAGAAATGTCTGTAGAAGGCTAGAAAGGTGTGAAGACAAAGAGTTCACTTATGACTTCTAATTTTTCTGCGAAGGACTAACAAATGGGTAAGAAGAGTAGGAAGAATGGTGATAATCTGGAATTATATCATGGGTAACAGGTGAAGAACCTCACCAGAAATGCATGACATTACAGTCAAACAGATTTGAAGGTTCCAGTGAGATCTGAGACCTTCAATCTGTAATTATAATATTTTCTATGGAATTAAGGTTTCTTTGATCTGTCAACAGTCCTGTTTATCCATGTGGATAAAGTAGATGGTTAGAAAACCCAGGTCATGGATTAGCAAAGGAATCATGGGAGAAACCTAGGGACAGAAGATATAAGAATGCTGTGAAGAGTTGCTGAAGTCATTTTATCATAGGATATAAAATGGCCAATGGTAAGAAATGAAACTAGAAGAGAAAGAAAAATCTCATGAGAAGTGTTGGATAATGGAGCACTCAGTAACAGAAAAAAGGCTACAAGATGGTAGTCAGAAAATGAAATACTGAAGTTTAAAATTTCATATTCAGAAGTTCTTCAGTTCCATGTGATTAAAAGGTTCGATGTGTGCTTTATGGGAATGAGCAGCCAACAGAACTGAAGAGATTACTTTGCTTGTTTGAGATAACAGCATTAGTTTGAATATAGAAATTCATTAAATATGGAAAAATGGCTTTGTGGTGGGTAAGTGACAATTATGATGAAGGGCATAGATGATATAGCAGAATAAAGTACTCTCAAAAACAGAAGAATAGGGCTGCGGTTGTGGTTCAGTGGTAGGGCACTTGCATAGCATGTATGAGGCACTGGGTTTAATCCTCAGCCATCGCATGCAAATAAATAAATAAATAAATAAAGGTATTGTGTCCATCTATAATCAAAAAAAAAAAAAGGACAGAAGAATAAAAATCTGGATGAACAGTAGAACACTAGCCAAAGACACAGGGTTTGGGAAGATGAGACTGTGAAGAAAATGGTATGCTAAGGCAATGTGTTTTTCAATGTGTGGTCATATAATCAATTTAGTTGATTACAAACTAGATCACAAAATATGAGTGCTATGTACGTAGTTCACATTAATGACATTTTGTGAAATTCTTGCTTATTTATATAATTTTAAGTATTTTATATATGTACTAAGTCAAGATATACAATGATGTGTTTCTTACTGTGGTCACTGACAAAAAATTTTGAAAAGGTGTCACTTTAGCCCTGGCCACCAATGGTTGAGAGGCAGAGCAGGGGTACCCTTGGTAGCCTTATGAACACAGTGCTGCAAATGGTGTAGAGCCCGAAGCTACGACCTAAGGCCTGCATTCAGCCCCAGGTCCACTGTGCCGTGCCCACCACGGCCCTGGTGGCTGAGGGTGGGCGCCGTCTAGATGCTGCACATGGGACCCACTCTGCCTCTCATGTGTAAATTCCCTGAGGAACATGAATGGATAACTACAGAAAATGGTATTGGAATAGTTAGGAATCAGCATTTTGGCACAGGAAGTTCTGGGAAATATTTACTGTAGTCTGCCTGAAATTGGAAGAAAACAGAAACAACAAAAAGAGTTTGGTGCTTTGAAAAGTGTGAAAGCTGCCAGAGAACTCTTTTTCCTCTATCAGAGAAGAAATTGAAATTAATGAGGCACCTGAAGAAAATCTAGAGTTTGTGAACAAATCTTAGATAAAGATGACTGGTTGATGAAGATAATACTGAGTGACCCTTCAGAACTAGATGACCTACTGAGTGAAGAAGCATATGAGAAATATGTAAAATCTATTAGAGTGAAAATGGTACCCCATTACTTCAGCATAGTTGTCTTAAATTAGTGGTAGAGAAAAGACTTAAAAAAGAAACTACTCTTAACACTGTAACTGGAAAAAGATACCCTGAACTTACCAATGACTGCACATAAACACAATTGTATCATTTTTACAGATCTTTATGATTTTTAGAGTAGGCTTTTAGACTCTGGTATCAAAATTCACATAATTATCTGTGATAAAAACTACTACGGTGGGCTGGGGTTGTACCTCAGTGGTAAAGTGCTCACTTAGTACGTGTGAGGCCCTAGGTTTGATCCTCAGCACCACATATAAAATAAATAAAGTAAAGGTATTGTGTCTAACTACAACTAAAAAAATAAATATTAAAAAAAAAAAAAAGAAAGAAAGCATGTATGTGGCCTGGGGCTTTAGTTCAGTGGTTCCTTGCCTAGCATGTGTGAGGTACTGGGTTCGATGCTTAACACCACATAAAAATAAATAAAATAAAGGCATTCTGTTCATCTACAACTAAAATAAAAGTATGTACATCAAAGATAATCTTGTTATAAGTCTTCTATAATATTGTAACTTGCTTATATCCACTCCTGGATTTGGGTCAATATACTTACTGATCTTTCCCACTGGAAAAAACTGGGAATGGAGGAAAGTATTTGTTATATAGTGTCAAAAGAACAATACTGTCTTAATTTTATAATATTCTGCATTTGCTGGTGTTATTTTTATACAGTCAAACAACAGGTTTGCAGCAAAATAATAAAGAAATATTCAACTTCAAATAAATTTTTTGAAAAAGATTATTCAGAAAGAACAGTGAGTTCCCTGGAAATTCCAATCCCTCAAATACTAAAAGGATGAGAAATGAAACAGGCTCAGTGAGAGCTGTAGCAAATTAAACTGTTCATTCCCCATCTATTAGCAGTTGGCTACTATTAAATTCTAAGATGTGCTTACCACTACCAGATTTGTCAATTTTAAAAAGAATAATTCTGGTTTTCTATGTGAAATCACTTAGTTTTTAATTAATATGGGGGTTATAAACTCTGAGCTTTGCATGTAGGCCAACTCTGTCATCTCTGATTAAGGGTAAGGCAGTATGAAGAAGACCAATAATTCTTCTATGAAGAAGACCAATAATTTAGTTAATAAATATAAGGAAATTTAGGGCTGGGGATGTGGCTCAAGTGGTAGCGCGCTCGCCTGGCATGCGTGCGACCCGGGTTCGATCCTCAGCACCACATACAAACGAAGATGTTGTGTCCGCCAAAAATTTAAAAAAAAAATCTGTCTCTCTCTCTCTCTCTTTAAAAAAAAAACAGAATGAGAGAGAACTGTGAGTCTTCCATTAAAAAAAATATATAAGAAAATTTATTTACACAGAAAAGGAATGCAGACATGATGGAACTGGAAGAGAATTCAACAATGGAGGTTGAGCTGGGGAAGAAAGGGCAAAGAAATCCTTACAATTGAAGACCACTGAAACTTACATGACCCAGTAACATAATAGATTAGAATGATCTAAATGCTTCTCTAAAATCTCTGCTCATTTTTCCGTATTAAAAACTATTTCCTTCTAATTCTCCTCACGGAGGTGAATTATTACCTTTGGACAATCAGATAGCATATGGTCTTTATTTTTCTATGAAACATTACAGAAACCACTATTCTTTGTCTTGGTATATTAGTAGTTACATAAATGTTTCAATTAAAACACATTAGGGGGGCTGGGGTTCTGGCTCAGAGGTAGAGTGCTCGCCTACCATGTGTGAGGCCCTGGGTTCAATCCTCAGCACCACATAAAAGTAAATAAATACAATAAAAGTATTGTGTCCAACTACAACTAAAAAATAAATATTAAAAAAAAAAACACATTAGGGTGGCTGAAATGCCATCTCCTTTAGTTAAAAATGTTTGTCCAATTACTTGAATACCTCACTGAATTCTTCCCCAATATTCTGATTTTTAAAAATAAGCCAAAAAAAAAAAAAAAATGCTGATACTAGTGATACAGTGCATTAAGTTTCACTGACAACTGACACAAAGATGGAAATAATGACATATCGAAAACACTATTCTTCAGCTTTAACTACAGAACATCTGCCAGTTAAATGTGTAATTGTGAGGGAAAAATATAAAGAACATATGTGAAATATGTTGTTGATGAGTTTTAGCTAAAAGGTAAACTGTAATTAAAAAATGTTTTGGCTCTCGGTGGATGAACTTCCTTTAAGCATGAAAACTTTGTCTATCTTTCATTGATTTGTTTTTGAAAAGATACTGTATAAATGCAGGAGGTAAGTTTTTTTAAAAAAACATTTATATTTTAGAAGTAGTCGGACACAATACCTTATTTTATTTATTTATTTTTATGTGGTGCTGAGGATCGAACCTAGGGCCTCGTACGTGCTAGATGAGTGCTCTACTGCTGAGCCACAACCCCAGCTCCCAGGAAGTAACTTTTATTAAAATTTATAAAATAGTTTTATACAGAATGCATTACTGAAAGTATATATAAAAATCAATTTTACTTCTTCATCCTTCAACACAATGATCCTTCATATTTATTATATAATAAATGGATCCAATCAGTTTACTTAAACACAAAATTATTTGATAATTCTTTTACTCTCCTTCTCTAGATTACATATTCATTTGTGGTCCTTTTCCTAAATAGTTATAATAATTTATTTTAGCCTACTTACCTATTGTTGTTCTATTTTTTCCAACTAGCCAGCAGTGGTAGCTGAAGAGTGAAAGAACGCTGATGAAGAACATTGCAGACACAAAGAAAAGAAAAAGTACATGGAATTTTGCACGTGTATCTGTCAATTCATTCTGAGGAAAGAAAAAAGAAAAGTTTGAGGATACTGAACCTCTAAAATGTAATGTATAATGTATTAGTTCTGCCTACAGATTGTTGAATGTATCAAAAAGCCAGATATGAAGGATAATTAAACAGGTAATATATATTCCAAAACAATAATTGCAAAAGCAAAGAATTGGTATTATCAAAGCAGGTTGCTTAAATGTGATGTCAGAGAGAGTCATTTAAAAATTCCTCCTAAAAAAAAATTTTAGGAATACTTATAATAAAATGAAAAGATGGACTCCTCTACCCAACAATTTTCTTTTGTACTTTATATATTTAACTTTTTTCAACATCCAGAATGTACAGGTAAATACTTGTACATTTATACTAAAATATTTATTATTTTAATAATACTGTAACTGAAACTAATTGTGATATATTTAAGTTTATTTTTATGCTTCTATAATCTGTTTTTGGAACACCACTTTGAAGGTGCCCATACTTTTAGCTGCTCTGATTCCTACCTTTATAGGAAATTGAAATTTTTCATAAATAAATTTACTACAAGGAATTAATGACTGAAAACAGTTTCTCTGTTTTTCCTTCTTATAGTTTCATGAATTTTTGGGGGTGGTACCAGCAATTGAACCCAGAGGCACTTTTTATTTTGTGAATAGGGTCTCACTAAGTTGCATAGGGCCTCACTAAGTTGCTGAGGCTGGCTTTGAACTTGCAATCCTCCTGCCTCAGCTTCCAGAGCCGCTGGGATTACAGGCCTGCGCCATCATGCCCAGCTCTCAGCTACATGCATTTTAATAGAAGCAAAGTCTTAACCTAGAAGAAATTAGCATCTATTAATAGGAGGAAGAGGAAACCTTTAAATGCTATTAATTCTTAAAATGAAACTATAGGCAAAACACCTTCTCAATCAGAACAAAAGGCTTCCCCTTTTGATTTGAAAAATAACATGAAAAAAGTTATTTGCATTATTCTTTTTCATAAGTCTTTTTATTTTTTTTCATGTGTGCTGGGTATTGAACCCAAGGCCTTATGACACTCTATCACTGAGCTATATCTATATCCCCCCAATCCTTCATTATTGTGATATTTCTTTTTTTTTCCTGCCAAAGTAATCATTTTATCTTTTAAACATATTAAGTGATTCTTCTATCTTACCATGTCATGAAACAAATTTTTATTATATACATTCACTGTAAATGTCATAAAAGAGATCATGAGAATGTCATGGCAACAATGTTTTACCTTTGGACAATTGTCTGTAGATTTCCTGCGGCAAAGCTTGTATAAATAGAGACAATGTATTAAGAAACCAATTTTTATACAAACACTAGGTTTTATAAATCCTGTAGGTTTTAAAGGGATTCTAAGATGTTGCTCGTAGTGTTGCTCTCTCACAACATTTTCTCAAAAAACACAAGAGAAAATATCAAGAACACTTAGTTCTTTAAGAACATTTCAGGTACCCTTTAGATATGCACTTTTCCACTCAGTGTTTAAAATAACAGAGATTTGTCTAGAGAGAATAAAGCCAAAATATTTTTTTAAATATATATTTCTTTAAACTTCTGATTAACAAAAACTAGATGACTTCTTACCACCTTTGGTGCTACTATCTTGCTGTGACTGTGTTGACTCTTGCCCTCTACCATCTGGTGTCAGCTCAGTAATCAGAGTGACCCTTTTACAAGTCAGATCATGTCATTCCTTCTGTATTTTATCAGAGTAAAAGCCATGGTCGTCTTAACTTTCCAAGGCCCTTTCCCTTGGCCCACGGCTCACCTGAGCTTCCCCTTAGGTGCTTATTCTACTCCAGCTACATACAATAGTCTCCTTGCTGTTGCTCAAACATACCTCAAACTTGAGGAAACTTAAGTTCCCTCAACCTGAAATGTCCTTCTCTCTGAAATTCACGAATCCCCTTCAAGTCTTTGCTCAAATTCTACTTTCTTAATGAAGCCCACCCTATGTTTCTTTAAAAAGACGTAATTTGCCTATCACCTGCCCCACAAACACAAAATCAACAGATCCCTCACTCTGATCTCCTTTTATTATTTGTTTCCCTTTTCTTAAAAGTAAGCTCTAAAAAACTATGATTCTTTGTTTTTTTCACTTACATATCCCAACTTCTCAGAAAACTGGCACAGAATAAGTACTAAATAAGTATTTGCTAAATGAAGAAAAAGGTAGATTTAAGTTTACTAGTATTTTTTTCTTATTCATGATTAATATTAAAAAAGTATCTCTTCTTTTTTTTTGGGGGGGGGGGATACTGGGGATTGAACTCAGGGGCACTTGACTACTGAGCCACATCCCCAGCCTTATTTTGTATTTTTTAAATTTAGAGACAGGGTCTCACTGAGTTGTTTAATGCCTCACTTTTGCTGAGGCTGGCTTTGAACTCACAATCCTCCTGACTCAGCCTCCTGAGCTGCTGGGATTGCTGGCATGCACTACCAGGCCCAGCCCTAAAAACATTTCTTCTTAAATAACTGCTATTACATTCAAATGCTACTGAATTTTCTCACAGACAAATATGAAATTATGCAATTTTGACTTTAATTATCTGGCACTGAATCCTCTTTAAATAGGGACACTATGTATGGCTAATGGGTTGTAAACTAAACAAACATGCCCAGCAAAGCAGGACAACAGAGGCCAAAATCTGGGTACTAAGACCACAGAGTTGGGATTGGTGCTCTCCTTAAATCCATACAAAGGTATTTTAAGTGCCAACAGCCTCTGGTTTTGTTTCCTGTGAGAGGATCAGTGCTGGGGATCTCAATAGTTCTATCACTGAGCTATAACCTCAGTCCAACTCCCTGGTTTTAAATACCCAAACTTTAAAAGGCTAATGATGTTTAAACAAAAATTCTTCTTAAATTTATTAGATAATTCCTGGAAACATAATTGTGCTCTGTGACTCAGGGCTTTAAATATGTTGACTACAGGGAGCAAGTAGACAGTGGATGCTGGGATGGACAGATCCAAGTGTCAATTCTGGCTTCCAATACTACTAAATAAGTGAACTTGGGTAGTTACTTAACTTCTCAATCTCAGTTAATAACTCTGAAAACCATAACTGATCCTCTGTATTAAACCACTTTTCTTGTTCTCTGTATTCCTGATGCTTTGCCTTATTAGAGTTTTGCTGACCTGGGGAGAGACCACCTTCCTTTCATATGCAAACTAACTAATCCAGAGCCCAAATTCCCAACTACCTCCTCCACCAGGCTACAGGGGGCAATACTCCTCTGTCCCATTTTTCAGGGCCAGGTCTAAGACAACTAGAGATGGCCAATCCTAAATCTGTTTTTGGCATTCCCAGAGAAACCACAAAACAGGTTCTGGCCCTCCCTCTTTATGCCTCCTAAATAACCAGGCCCTGAGAGGCTTCCCATCAAGGTGTGCCCTCTTTTGAAGACTATGAGTAAATAAATATCTTTGCAATGGCAACTGGCTCCTGATTTATGGGCCTTACTATACCTAAATTAAAAACAACAACAACAACCCAAAAAAGCCGCGCATTTTAAAACATCTTCACAGGGGGCTGGAGTGGTAGAGCGCTCTGTTGGCCTAGCCCTGGCCCTGGGTTCGATCCTCAGCACCACATAAAAATAAATAAATAAAATAAAGGCTTTATGTCCAACTACACCTAAAAAATGAATATTAAAAAAAAAAAAATCTTCACAGGGTTTTTAGAAAGAACAAATGTGAAAGAACTTTTTAAACACAATAATTTCCCCTTCAAAAATCAAAGATTTAATTGTAAAAGTGAAAACAATAAAAAGTACCAGAAGAAAACTGGTGAATTTTTGCATAAACTTGCACTGAACAGGCAACAGTGAGAAATCATAAAAAGGCCATATTTATAAAAAAAAAAGAAGAAATTTAATTTTGATTAAAACAAAACAGCAGATATCAACAAAAAATGTGGAAAAAAATATTTATGACATGGGGTAGAAAAAGGATTAATATCTTTAGACATGCTTCATTATTCTCAATGAATCCTTTGTGATACCTTGCAAATATCTTCTCCCAGACTTGCCTTTTCACTTCAAGAGCAGCTTTTTTTCTTTGCTGCACTGGAAAGTGAACCCAGGAGTGCTCTACCACTGAGCATCATCCCCACTCCACTCTTTTTTTTGAAACAGGATCTCACTAAGTTCCTCAGTCTGGTCTTAAACTTAGGATCCCTCCTGTCTCAGCCTCCTGAGTGGCTGGGGCAACAGGTATGAGCTACTGCATTTGGCTTTAAGAGCTGCCTTTTTTTTTTTTTTTAATATACCTTTATTTATTTATTTTTATGTGGTGCTGAGGATGGAACCCAGTGCCTCATTCAAGGTGAGCACTCTATCCCTTGAGCCACAATCACAGCCCCAAGAGCTGCTTTTTAATAAAAATTTATTTATTTATTTATTTTTAAGGAGACTGGATCTTGCTCTGTTGCCCAGAATGACGTAAAACTCCAGGACTCAAGCAAACCTTCTGACTCAGCTTCCTGAGTAGCTAGGACTAAAGGCATCTATGGTGCCTAACTAAAAGAAATTCTTAATTTTAATGGAGTTCAATTTATACATCTATTCTTGCATGGTTAGTGGTTCCTATATTCTATTTAAGAAATGCTCATATACACCAAGATCAATAAGAAATTATTTGCTATGTAAATATTTGAACCTACCAGAAAACAATGGGCAAAGAACAAAAAAGAGATTTCACAAAAAAGACATGCTAATGGCTAGTAAACACATGCTCTTAGGCATATGCAAAATAAAAGGAGATTTTATATTTTGTTCATAAATTAGCAGGCACTAAATTGAATAAAGGGAGAGGATAAAGATGGAATTACAGGACAGATATGGCTTAGGAGTAGTAACGCTCCAAGGCACAATGAATTGGAAAAAACAAATTCAAAGACATTTACTGAATGTTTTCTAGCTCATCAAATATTTATACTAATTTAATCCTCACATCAATTCTATGAGATAAGTATTACTCAAAATTTTAATAATAAAAAAATAAACTAAAGTTTAATTATTTTAACTGGCTAATATTTACTGAACATCTGCTGTGTGCCAGGTAGTACTCTATATCAATGAATGGAGGAAAAAAAAAACAAACACCTTTTTTTCTTTTTGGTATCAAGGATTGAACCCAGGCTTGCTTAACCATTGAGCCATATCCCCCCAACACCCTGGGGGGGCACTTTTTTTTTTTTTGAGACAAGGTATTTAAATTGCTTAGGACCATACTAAATTCCTGAGGCTGGCTTTGAACTTTCTATCCTCCTGCCTTAGCCTCCAGAGCCACTGGGATTACAATTACAGATGTGTACAATTACAGGTGGGTACCACAGTACCTAGCAAGGCAAAAATACTTGCTTTCATGTATCTTAGATTATAAAAGATGTTTGTATTTAAACTAAGCCTGTTTCTTTTTTTAGTATACTACTTTGATTCTATGTTTAATAATGAAATAACAAAAATTCAAAGATGACATTAATTTTCCTACCCCAGCAATTGATAGGTTTATATAGGTTTTGTTCCCATTATGTCAGATAAACATAGGAAGAACAATGTAAGAAAATAACATGACATTGATTTGAGACATCTTCATCACGTCAATGTTTTAAAAAATAGCAACTAGAGATTGCTAGGAACTAGGATTCAGCAGTGTTAAAGCTAGGGCTGAGGTGTGACTGTGAATGCCACAGAAGTACACATGACCACCAGGAACAATTAGAGATAATCAAGAATGTAGCAGCTAAGGATGGAACCTACATTTACGGAAGCTGAGAGAAAAGTGATATAAATAATAGCGAGAAAGTTAGAGGTTTAAATGAAGGGAGAGAGTTTTAATGTATTTTAAAATTATTTCTAAATTTTAATAAAATAGTACATGAACAAACAACAACAACAACAAATCAAACAATGCTAAAAAGCTATCACTGGAAAATAACAGTTTTCTACAGCACGGACAACAGGCAGCACCTTTACACATTTCTGGCATTTCCCCCCACCCAAAGAACATAATTAAATACTTTAAAATATTTAAACTTTATTAATTATTTTAATTAGATTGCTATCTGTACATTGCATACAAAATTTAATGGAAAACTGTAAAAACTATGTCTCTCTTCCTTATTGTCCTTCCAGAGGCAACTATCATTAGCAACTTTATTTATTTATTTATTTATTTTTGGTGGTGCTGGGGATTGATATGAGGCCAACACTCTACTAACTGAGCTATATCCCCAGCCCCTATTAGCAACTTTTTAATGCTTTCTTTCAGAAGACAGTATATGCTTATATTTATTTTCATATATAAATGGGAGCATACTGAATGTGTTCTTTTGGGGTCTTTTTCCCTCCATATAACACATCTCAAAGATCACATCATTTGTCATAAAGAGCTTCTTTATTCTTTCTTAAGCTATACTACATCCTCTGTATAGATACATAATAACTTAATTAGTCCCCTGTTGATAAAACATTTGATTGTTTTCAGCCATTTGCCATTTTTAAAAATGGTGGAAAATTTATACAGACAGGAAGCATGTTAGTGGGTGCCTGTAGCTGAGGATACCACTTTTACTGTAAAACTGTAATAAGTCTCATTAAGTCCAAGAAAGGCAATTATTTCCTTAAATTTGATATGCCTTTATTACAGTGTGGTTAAGTACAATTTGGATTACTAAAAGAAACTCACTATTTGTGGTGTAACGTACCTTTACTTATGAATAAATGTGTATAAAAAGGTAAACTGTAGCCTTGCCCTCTATACCATTATAAATTCTAGCTAGTAAAATTAATTATATCTACTTATAATGAAGAATAAAGTTATTCTTTAGAAACCCAACACCTTAAAAATATTTAATATATGTTTTAGGATAGAAAAAAGACTTACCGTCCAAAATTTTATAAAGTACTCTAAAACTGATATAGCCACGTAAAGGCAATATATTAGGGAATACAATAAAAACAGCATGAAGAATTTGTAATTAGAAAATCCCACACAGTTATTCACCCTAGAAGAATAAAGAAAGTCACACTATAAAAATAAGACAAAACACAAATTCATAGAAATAGAAAGATTCTAGAATGGAGGTTGTGAAGGGGAAGAGGGTGAAGGAAATGGGGAACTGGTTAATGAGAACAGAGTTGCAATTTTATAAGATTTAAAGTACTGGAGACTGTACAACAAGGTAAACACTACTGAAATATCTACTTAGGTATAACATGTTACTTTCTCACTTGTGAATAAGAACTAAATTCTTTCAAGTGGTTAAGACAGTAAATTTTATGTTATGTGTTTTTTGCCATAATAAAAAAAAGATAAGTCAGAAAACTTAAATTATTATTACTTGGAAGTAGCCATTTGTGAAGCAGGAAGCAGTATCTTAACTATGGATATGTGTTTTTAATGAATTCTAGAAGAAATACAGGATTTTAATGTTAATTCTTAACACACCAATATTTGGGGGTTAATAATATTAAAAAATATTTTTAAAGAAAAATATACAAATAATGTCCCTATGCATATAGGCAAATATATAAATAGATCAATCATAATATTTATAATTAAATTAACATTGAAAATATAAAATACTGGGGCTGGGAGTGTAGTTCAGCAATAGAACATATTTGGTATGCATGGGACCCTGGGTTTAATCCCTAGCACCAAAAAAAAAAAAAAAATTTAAAATAATCATTCTAAAAATTCTCTCCTCCCACCTTTCCACCCTCTTATGCCATTTCCTCCATTTTTTTTATACATACCAAGGACAGTGATGATCCATCTTAAGAATACATCTAAGAAACAAATAAACATAAGAAAATCCATGCAGAAAAATTCCCTATTTTGTCATAATTTTATTTTATTTGACTTAAAAATTTCCCTTTAAAACTGTATCTTAGAGAACCAACAGAGAAACATCAGGGCAGAGATAATTTCTGGTATGGCTACAAGTACTTCTATGGTAAGAGGTCATAAATTTTTTACACTGGGAAGTAAGCTGAGAATATCCAGTTACACTGTATCACATTAAATGACATTTTACAATATATCAAAATGCATTCTATTGTCATATATAACTAATTAAAAAAAGAAAAAAAATAACATTTTAATATTCAGATCTGAGGAAATACTTTGATTATTAGAGAAGTCCAGCTTGAAAATTTGCTGAAGGAGATAAAATGGAAAACAGATTATCCCTTTGTTATTTAAACATCTGCAGGTCATAAAAATAAAACTTTAGAATCAAATATGTAAAAACATTAACAGTGATGGGCTTAGACATGGTTATTTTTTCCATGTTTTATAAAACCCCCAATTTGCCCTTCTACTGGGATACATATTTTGTTTATATAAAATTAGACTATAGATCATCTCAAATAATACAATAAATGAGTAATCTAATACCTAGAAAGTTAAGTAGTTTGTCTAATTAAAAGTAAAGATTAGTGTGATTCCCATTTAATGATCTTTCTTTTAACATATCACCTTCTCACTTATGTATTAGAACTAAATTCTTTGAAATTTTTCTAGTTAAGATGTTAGGATGATAACTGAAAACAATTGTTAAGTTATTTTGGTGGTTTTTTAGGTTTTTAATATCAACATCAATTTAAAAAAGAAAAGAAAATAATCAGAATAATCTTTCAAATCCAGGAAATAAAGTTTCTTTCTCAAGGGTATTATCAACTATTTGCTCATCAATATTACCTTAAGCACAAGCATAGAAAGCATACTTAAAAAAATCCTATAAACTAGACATGAAGCATATCAAAAATTACTTCTAGGTATATTCTAGCTTATATAAATATTTTTGTTAGTTCTCTGTGCATAGAAAATAAAGGAAGAGGATGAAATGCTTAAAGTATAAAATATGAAAAAAGTTCCTACCTCTCACTGTCACCAATATTCAGTGCTAGGTTTAAATAAACGCAAACGAGGAACACTTACTTGTCACATGCTGAGCAGTGATGTGCCCGATCAGGTTTAATCAACTGACATTTTTCACAATATCTGATAGCTACATGAAAGAAAAGGAAGATGCTGAAGAAGGCACGAGCTTAACTAATTTGAACACAAATCTTAACATTTTAAAATGAAAAACTTCGGGAAATCAACAACTAATAATTTTAACCTAAAGTAAAAATGGACTGGAAAATTTCTCAAATGAAAATGTCAAGAAATAGAAAAGAACCTCAAAACTGTGTTATCCCAGCAGTTTTCAAATTAAAGTAAATCCAAAACACATGTTAAATGCAGAGGTAAGCAGTGCAACCAGTACAAAACTCAGATTTACTAAGTCCTAAACCCAGTGTTTTTCCTACTATACCACAATGTCTAAGGTAAAATATCAAATTTATATTATAAGGCATTCTATGGAACTTGGGTCTTGAAATTCTGAAACAGCTTTAATTAAAAAAATATATTTTTTTTTCTGTCATCCCTACTTCCCCAAACAGAGAATACATTTTTAAGAAAAAACTGTTTCCCACTAAATTCTAATATATGCTACTATTGCCCAATTCATACATTCATTCATTCAAGATACTGAGCACCTTCTAGCTGCCAGATATTGTTCTAGGCAAAAACTCTGCCTTCCACCATAAACATACATTGGAGAAAAGATAGCCTCTTCAACAAATGGGGCTGAGAAAACTGGAAATCCATATGTAGTAGATTGAAATTTAACCCCTATCGTCACCCTGCATACAATTCAACTTAAAAGTGGATCAAGGACCTAGGCATTACACCCAAGATTCTGCACCTACTAGAAGAAAAATAGGTTCACCTCTCCATCATGTTGGTTTGGGAAATGATTTCCTCAATAAGAGTCCTAAAGCACAAGAAGTAAGATCAGGAATCAATAAATGGGATGGTATCGAACTAAAAAGCTGCTACACAGCAAAGAAAACAATCAAGAACGTGACAGAAAAAAAAAGAATCTTTGCCACCTGCACTTCAGATAGAGCATTAATCTCCAGGATATATAAAGAACTTAAAAATTAACACATACACACACACATCAAAACAAACACACAAACAACCCAACAACAACAACAACAAAAAAAAACAACCCAAGGGGGCTAGGGTTGTGGCTCAGTGGTAGCGCGCTTGCCTAGCATGCGTGAGGCACTGGGTTTGAGTCTCAGCACCACATACAAATAAATAAAATAAAGGTGCATCAACAACTAAAAAAAAATACTTTAAAAAAAACCCAAATGACCCAATCAATAAATGCACAAAGGAACTGAACAGGCACTTCACAGAAGAACTACAAATGGTCAACAAGTATATGAAAAAATGTTCACTATCTCTAGCAATTACAGATATGCAAATTAAAACTACACTTGAGGGCTGGGGATATGGCTCAAGCGGTAGCGTGCTTGCCTGGCATGCAAGTGGCCTGGGTTTGATCCTCAGCACCACATACAAACAAAGATGTTGTGTCCGCCGAAAACTAAAAAGTAAATATTAAAAAAAAAAAACTACACTGAGATTTCATCTCACTCCAGTCAGAATGGCAATTGTCAAGAATACAAGTAATAATAAATGCTGGGAAGAATGTGGGGGAAAAGTGGGTGCAAACTGGTGCGACCACTCTGGAAAGCAGTATGGAGATTCCTTAGAAAATTTAGAATGGAACCACCATTTGACACAGTTATCTCACTCCTTGGTTTATACCCAAAGGATTTAAAATCAGCATACTAGAGTGACGCAGCGCCCTCAATGTTTACGGCAGCTCAAGTCAACAAAAGACAAGCCATAGAACCAACCTAGGTGTCCCTCAACAGATGAATGGGACCAAAAGCATTATACAGATTCAATACAATTCCAATCAAAATCCCAATGACATTCCTCATAAAAACAGAAAAAACAATCATGAAATTCATTTGGAAAAATAAGAGACCTAGAATAGCCAAAGAATTCTTTAGCAAGAAGAGTGAAGCAAGAGGCATCAAAACACCAGACCTTAAACTATATTATAGAGATATAGTAATAAAAAAATGGCATGGTATTGGCACCAAAATAGACCTGTAGACCAATGGTACACAATAGAGGACAAAGAGACAAACCCATATAAATACAGTTATCTCATACTAGACAAAGGCACCAAAAACACTGGAGAAAAGACACCCTCTTCAACAAATGGTGCTGGGAAAACTGGAAATCCATATGCAGCAAAATAAAATTAAACATCTACATTTCACCTTGCACAAAACTCAACTCAAAGTGGATCAAGGACCTAGGAATTAGACCAGAGACTCTGCACCTAATAGAAGAAAAAGCAAGCCCGAATCTTCATCATGTCAGCTTAGAACCAGACTTCCTAACAGACTCCTAAAGCATAAGAAATAAAATCAAGAATCAATAAAATGGGATGGATTCAAACTAAAAAGCTTCTTTGCAGCAAAGGAAACAATCAAGAAAGCGAATGGAGAGCCAACAGAATGGAAGAAAATATTTACAATGCGCACATCAGAGCATTAATCTCTAGGATATATAAAGAACTCAAAAAACTTAACACCAAAAAAATCCCAGTAGGAGCTGGGGTTGTAGCTCAGTGGCAGAGCACTTGCCTCGCACACGTGAGGCCCTGGGTTCAATCCCCAGCACCACATAAAAATAAAGATATTGTGTCCATCTACAACTAAATAAATAATAAATAAATAAAAATAAAAAATAAAAAACCCAAATAATCCAATCAAAAAATGAACTAAGGAAATGAGCAGACACTTCACAGAAGAAGAAATACAACTGATCAACATATATATGAAAAAATGTTCAACATCTCCATCAATTAGAGAAATGCAAATCAAAACTACTCTAAGATTTCATCTCACTCTAGTCAGAATGGCAAATATCAAGAATTCAATGCCCCCTCCCCCTGCGCCTGCAAGGTAGGTGGAACTGTGACCACCCACAGAACAGGCCAAGTGGCCCGCGGAGGGGCAGAGCTGCCAACCAGCCCTGCAAGGTAGGTGGACCTGCGACCCACCGGCAGAATAGGCGCAGCGGCCTGCTGAGGGGCAGAGCCACCCCCTCCCCCCGCGCCTGCAAGTTAGGCAGAACTGTGACCGACGGAAAAGGCCCAGTGGCCCGTGGAGGGGCAGAGCTGCCAACCACGCCTGCAAGGTAGGCGGGCCTGCGACCCACCGGCAGAACAGGTGCAGCGGCCTGCTGAGGGCCAGAGCCGCCCCCTCCCCCCGTGCCTGCAAGGTAGGCGGAACTGTGACCACCAACAGAACAGGCCCAGCGCCCCCTGCGCCTGCAAGGTAGGCGGACCTGTGACCCACCGGCCATTATGAAGTCAAACAACAACAAGTGCTGGCGAGGATGTGGGGAAAAGGGTACACTTGTACATTGCTGGTGGGACTGCAAATTGGTGCAGCCAATTTGGAAAGCAGTATGGAGATTTCTTGGAAAGCTGGGAACGGAACCACCATTTGACCCAGCTATTCCCCTTCTCGGTCTATTCCCTAAAGACCTAAAAAGAGCATGCTACAGGGACACTGCTACATCGATGTTCATAGCAGCACAATTCACAATAGCAAGACTGTGGAACCAACCTAGATGCCCTTCAATAGATGAATGGATAAAAAAAATGTGGCATTTATACACAATGGAGTATTACTCTGCATTAAAAAATGACAAAATCATAGAATTTGCAGGGAAATGGTTGGCATTAGAGCAGATTATGCTAAGTGAAGCTAGCCAATCCCTAAAAAACAAATGCCAAATGTCTTCTTTGATAAAAGGAGAGTAACTAAGAACAGAGTAGGGACGAAGAGTATGAGAAGAAGATCAACATCAAACTGGGATGAGAGGTGGGAGGGAGAGGGAGAGAGAAGGGAAATTGCATGGAAATGGAAGGAGACCCTCAGGGTTATACAAATTTTCATACAAGAGGAAGTGAGGGGAAAGGGGAAAATAATACAAGGGGGAGAAATGACTGACAGTAGAGGGGGTAGAGAGAGAAGAGGGGAGGGGAGGGGAGGGGAGGGGGGATAGTAGAGGATAGGAAAGGCAGCAGAATACAACAGACACTAGTGTGGCAATATGTAATTCAATGGATGTGTAACTGATGTGATTCTGCAATTTGTATACGGGGTAAAAATGGGAGTTCATAACCCACTTGAATCAAAGTGTGAAATATGATATATCAAGAACTATGTAATGTTTTGAACAACCAACAATAAAAAATTAAAAAAAAAAAGAATTCAAGCAACAATGGGTGCTGGTGAAGACATAGGGAAAAAGATATACTGATTCGTTTTTGGGGGGACTGCAAAATTTTGCAACCACTTTGGAAAGCAGTATGGAGATTCCTTAGAAAATTTAGAATGGAACCACCATTTGACCCAGCTATCCCACTCCTCAGTCTATATATACCCAAAGGCCTTAAAATCAGCATACTACAGTGAGGCAGCCACCTCAATGTTTATAGCAGCTCAATTCACAATAACTATACTGTGGAACCAACCTAGAGGCCCTTCCAAAGATGAATGGATAAAGAAATTGTGGTATATATACACAATGGAATATTACTCAGCATTAAAGAAGAATGAAATTATGGCATTTACAGGTAAACGGATGGAGTTGGAGAATATCATGCTAAGCAAAGTAAGCCAATCCCCAAAAACCAAAGGCCAAATGTTTTCTCTGATATGTGAATGTTGATCCATAATGGGGGGGGGGGGGGTGGGGCAAGGGAAGAATGGAGGAACTTTGGATTGGGCAGAGGAGAAGGAGGGGAGGGGAGGGGAGGGGAGGGAAGTGGGTAGGAGGGAGATGATGTAATGAGATGACATTATTATCCTCTATGTGGGTATGACTGCACGAATGGTGTGACTACATCATGTACAACAAGAGAAATAAAAAGTTGTGCTCCATTTGTGTAAAAAATAAAATTAAATTTAAAAAAACGATGAACAGATAAAGAATCTGTTGTATACATACACAATGGAATACTACTCAGCCTTAAAGAAGAATGATATTATGCCATTTGCTGGTAAATGGATGAAACTGGAGAATGTCATGCTAAGTGAAATAATAGTCCCCTCGAAACAAAGGCCAAATATTTTCTCTGATATATGAATGCTAACCTACAACAAGGGAGGGTAGGGAGGAGAAGAATAGAAGCTCATTGAATTGGATAAAGGAGAATGAAAGAAAGGAAGGGAGTATAGGGCTAGGAAACACAGTAGAATGTATTGGACATAACTTTTCTTTGCTCATTATGAATACACGACCAATGTAACTTCACATTATGTACAACCACAGAATGGAATCCTAATTGGAATGGGTTGTACTCCAAGTATGTAAAATATGTCAAAAATACACTCTACTGTCATGTATATCTAAAAACAGTTACAATAACAAAAATCTCTGCCTTCATACAATTTACATTCTGTAAGAAGAGATGAGGAGCCAGGTGTGGTGATACACACCTGTAATCCCAGCAGCTCGGGAGGCTGAGGCAGGAGGAGTGTGAGTTCAAAGCCAGCCTCAGCAACAGCGAGGCACTAAGCAACTCAGTGAGAACCTGTCTCTAAACAAAATACAAATAAAGGACTGGGGGTGTGGCTCACTGGTTGAGTGCCCCTGAGTTCAATTCCTGGTACCCCTCTCCCCCCAAAAGATGAGGTTTAATGAATAAGTTAAAATAAATAGTGCATTAGATAGTGATAGCACAGAGAGCACAGAAGAGGAACGGTAATTTTAGAAACATCTGAGAAAACTGAAATTGAAGTGAGTTCAAAATTGAAAAGAAACATATTAGTAAGTGAGACATATTACTATCTGGGAAAAAGGGGATTCTAACCAGAGCCTGAGGCAGGAACATGCTTGGCCTATTTGAAGAAGAGTGAGGAATAGAGATGTTCATCATAGCATTGTTTTTATTAAAACAGAAATAATTTGATTTAGGAAAATGGTTAAGCATTTTTTATGGGATATCCATACTGTGAAATACTATGCAAACAAACATTTTCCATACAAAATACATTTATTTTCCATTAAGGAAAACATAGCAGGCTCAAAATATAGTCACTCATACTAAGGGTTCACATACCAAAGAGAAAGGCCAAGTGAATAATAAGCTCAGGATCAGAAATCAAGTATCCTATTTTCCCTTTCTCCTATATCCTCCACTAAACAATGTGACATTGTGGAAGTTTTAAAATTAACTGGGCTCTGGGTGGGAATAAATCAAATAGATCTTACAAAACAGGGATTGATTATGGATTTCCAAGTCTGAATTGAAGTGAAAGTTCTTGTCAAGGATGGCTTAGAAGAATGATAATGCCAAGGACAGAAATATAGCAGAATTTAGGTAGGGTGGGTGGGGGTAAAGGGTATTCCTTTATTCATTCAATGAATATTTAGAGAATTTACATGTGACAAATATCACTAGATGGCTGGGGGAAAAGGTGAACAAGTCAGACTTGCTTCCCACCCCTATGAGACAGCTAAGTTGCTGAGGTTGGCCTCAAACTCACAATCATCCTAAGTAGGTTTTAAATGGATGAATTTGGTTTTACATGAGTTTGAGTTTGGATAACAGGTCATGTAAGAACAGCTATCCTTAGAAAGATGGAAATATAAGAATGGAACTGTAGTTCAGTGAGCTACAGATAACTGAATTCAAAGGCACATGTCAAGGTGAATATGAAGTATAAATAATGGTTGCTGGATTCTGTGGGACAGAAGTTTGCAGTTCTCCACCTGCCCCCTGAAACAACAGAAAGAATATAGCTAGATCACAGGGTGTTCTGTAACATGTAATCCTTGTGTGTAGCTGCAACTTCACCCTTTGCCTGGCACAAAGCCAAGGTTTACAATGTTTGTGTTAGTATAAGATGCCTGAATTTGTTCTAATTAAAGAAGAAAACTATTAAATTATGAGGCACAATAAATGAATGATCACAATACTGTAGTATCAGAACTCCATGATTAAAAGTTATAGCTGAAAGGACAGTACAGAAATAAGAATAGGAACAGGGCAACCTTGAGAAGTAGAACATAAAAACTGGGAAGAAGAAGCATTTAGGACTCATTTCTGAGTAGATGACAGTATGTCCATATGGCTCAAAAAAGTACAAAGAGGAATTCAGTGCAAAGTCCCTCCTATCCCTGAACTTGACCCACAATTGCCCTTACATGAAAGCAACATCAATAATTTTACTAATCTCTGGTAAATGAAAGGTCCATTTCCTTCAATATGCATTAGGTCTATAATAAGAAAAAAGAAATTCCTTCAGAGTTTGGAATTCTAGACAGTAAAAATGTAGTATAAAATAGTATTCAAGGGAGTAGATTCCACTGAAAGTCAGAAGAGAGGATATAAAACCCACTCAGGGACTTTGGCCACCTTACTATGCCTTATTTTTTTTTTATCTCCAAAAAGGTGTTGTGCAAGTACAACACCTCTCTCAGAGTTGTTAAAGTGCTTAGCACAATTCTGGTGTAATAATGGGTATTATTTGGGCTAGAAGAAAGCCATTATATAATTAATAAATAAAAAGTGGTAAAGTTTTAAAAGCAAAGTTTTAGTGTTGATGGCTCTTTACTTTTAGAAGTACATGTACTTCTCTGAAAACAGATGATCTTGTTATGAACAGGATTTTCTGAAAACTACACTTACCCCAAATTTGCCTATGATCTCAGGGATTCAGAACTATAACTGCTAATAATTATTGTAAACCATATTTTTCAGAATTAAATGTAAAAATGTAGCAAAATGTAATTAAAATTTGAGATAATTTACTAGAAAAATTTCTGAAAGTAAAATCTGCTGAAAATTTATTATTACACACCAAGATATATACTGTATTTCACATACATGAAAAAGCTAGAATTTGATCTGCAGTCCATGTTATTATTATTTTTTATTTATTTTGGTACTGGGGATTGAAACCAGGGTGCTTTACCACTGAGATACCTCACATCTTTTTATTTTGAGACAGCTAAGTTGCTGAGGTTGGCCTCAAACTCACAATCATCCTAGTTCAGCCTCCTGAGTTGCTAGGATTACAAGCATGTTCCACTGAGCCTGGCTTCAACTTTTTATCCTATACCATAATATATTAGTTATGTAAAAGGGACAGTATTTAAGTGCATTTAAGTCAAATATCCCCTTCTACAGTTTTAGCACTTTAAACATCCTTGAGTCATAATTTGTCATAGCTACACAAAAGTAAAGATTCTTCTAGTTCTCCCTAGAGTTAGAGCACCTGGATTTAAATCTCTGTTTCCCCCCCACCCCAATATACAGTCTATATGACTATTATAGTTTGGATATAAGCTGTCCTCTTAAAATTTCTGTGCTAATCCAGGAATATTAGAAGATAAAATTATTGGATCATGAGAGTTTGTAACCTAAATAGTCCATCCTAGTTTGAACAGACTAACTGGTAGTAATTGTAGTGAAGTGGGGCATGGCTGAAGGTGGTGAGTCACTTGGGATATGCTCTTGAAGGGTTCATTTTCCCTGTGGCCCTTTCCTTTTCTGTTTCTCAGTTACCACATGCTGAGCAGTTTGTAGTTTTCCTCCATCATACCCTTCTGCCATGATGTTCTGACTCACCTTGGGCCCAGAATTGATGAGGATTTGGCTGACCATGGACTAAAACTGTGGGCCAAAAATAAACATTTCTTCCTCTAAATGTTCTTCTCAGTTATTTTGGTCACAGCAACAGAAAGCTGACTAGCACAATGATCTTGAACAAGTTACTTCAACTCTCTGTCTTGTATGAATTCAGTTTGATGATACTGCAGTCATTCTGAGTTCTAACTACCATGACTACCTCAGAGCAACTCTAATTGGTTTTCCTGCAGTTTCCATCATACTATAAATAGAAAAAACCATTAGTAGTATGTAAAGTTTTACAACTGGTCCAGGTGCCTGGAATGTGCCTGACTCTTAACATTAGCTTAAGATAAACTTGGTACTTTCCACCTTGGATGAAGTCACTTTGGCACAGACCAATAATACAAAACCCCTCATTCTTGACCCAACCCGTAGGGATCCACTTGGTATTGCAGCTACCTAGGACCATGCTTCTGTCACTTAAATTCCCCAATAAACTGCAATCTGGATCTGCAATCCCAGATCTGCCTGTTTTCTTCAATCTTGTAGCACCTTGGGACTAGTACTCATATAGTGGGAATAGGTTGTCCAGAAACAGTGTCTTAGCTTCTTCATCTGCAAAATGGGGACTCTGGTATCTACCTTATAGGGCTATTGTGAAGTATACATGAGTTCATATGTGTAAAACACTTAGAAAATTGTCAAGTTTTTAATATTATCTAGTATTTGAACCAATTGATGAAGTATATAATACAATTTTTTTAAACTTTATGTATTTAAATGATCAGCTTGGCTACTCAAAATAGACTCCTATCATGAGGCTAAAAATCTTAGAAAAGGACACTGCTGTAACAGGCATGTATCTCAATGGAGACAGCACTGCAGAGGAACTCATAGTTTCATCTTAGAAGACCAGCTTTTATAATCTTGAGTAGGTTTCTTCCCCTTCATATTTTTTACTTCTCATTTTTAACACATTCCCTTTTTGTTTTTCTTTTATTACTCGGTGATGACACACAATAGTCAAATTCAAATCAGAATTTCTAAATGACAGTTTACTAGGAATAATAACTGAAATTTTTAGCTGTGAAGATTGAGTCTGGAGGAAAAGAATAGAGAAAATATTTTACATTAAAGTGAACACCTTAAAAATTGTATTACTATATTCATATATTCATCTATATCTGAAATACAAACAGAAAATCTTATTCCAGCAGATATTGCTTATGGTAATCATTATATATCCACACAATAGTTAAACCATAAAACATATCCTGTAAAAATAAACACATTTGAAAAATCATTTGGAAAGGAAAGCTTAAGACCGTTTTTCTTACTTCTTGAAGCTGATGTGGTATAGATAGGTAAGTCTCTTGCTGCTCTTCTCAAAATTTGTTGTTGTCTTTCATGGCTGAATTCCTTTTCATAACGCTCCTTGTCAGAATTGGACAAGTAGAACTATAAAAAGAGAAACAATTATCAACCCATCAATATTGTGTTTCATCAAGAGAAAACTTACCTTCAAACTGACTTTCAAGTATATTTTAATAAAACTACATAGATTAAAAAATATTTGCCTTCCCTATTAATAATGGCAAAGAAAATAAACACACTTCTGCATCTTTGCTTTTTATAGATAAAAAAATTAATTTCCTTCATCAAAAAGGCTTAGTACACATTTTTTTTAATTAATAAAAACTTTGCTGTTTAAAAGTTACTGTCAAGAAATTCTATATTTTTGGAAGAATTATTGGCATGTCTGACATTAAAATGCAGGTCTTCTGTGTTCCATTCTAGTATATTTTCCTCTATTTTGCTAACATAAAGGTTCTGGGTTTTTACAGATTGTTACCAGATCTAAATTAATAGTATATTTTATGAAGTAGAAGAGTCTATTTTAGATTACCTTGCTTGGCTTTCACAATTAAATGAACAGAACAGAAAGCAGTCAGAAAAGATTCACATGACCCCCCCCCCCCCCAAAGACTTTAGAGACCACTTATCAACCACCAACTACAAGGCAGGGAGCTTCAGACATTTCTGACAGATTCATCTGGTCTTGAATACTTTTGGAGATAGAAAGAAAATCATATGGTATAATGTTAAAACTATACTTGGAAAGGAAAGGGTCTGATCAAATTTTAGTTTCCTATAAAATCTCAATAGACTCCCCTGGAGGAATCCATTCCTAGACTGTGGTAGTATCTCAAATCTCCACTTGCTACATCTTCTTCCACTTGACAACCATTCCTTCTCCTTAATAATTAAGGATATAAAATTTAAATCAAATGAAAATTTCTAGAGATACCAGAATTTTAATGGAACAAAACTAAAATTAAAATAGATTAGACTTTTGAAATTGCCAAACATAATTCAAATTACAAAATGCCATTACTATCTTAAATTCAGAGTTCAAATGGTTCCATTTAAATATGTGTTAGGCAATAGCTACATTATGAAACCAACCTAGGTGCCCTTCAAAAATGAATGGATAAAGAAAATATATACACAGTGGAATATTACTCAGCCATAAAAAATGCAATTAAGGGCTGATGTTGTAGCTCAGTGATAATGCACTCACCTAGCATGTGTGAGGCACTAGGTTTGATCCTTAACATCACATAAAAAGAAAGAAAGAAAGAAAGAAAGGCATTGTGTCCATCTACAACTAAAAATATATTTTTAAAAAATGCAATTATGGGGGCTGGGATTGTGGTTCAGTGGTAGAGCACTCGCATCGCACGTGCGAGACCCTGAATTCAATCCTCAGCACCACATAGAAAAATAAACAAGTGAAATAAAGGTGTTGTGTCCAACTACAACTAAAAAATAAATATTAAAAAATGCAATTATGGCATTTGCCGATAAATGGAGACTCTCATGCTAAGTGAAATAAGCCAATACTCCAAAACCAAAGGCCGAATGTTTTCTGATATACAGATGCTAACACATAATAAGGAGAGGTAGAGAAGCATAGAAGTATTTTGGATTAGACAAAAGGGAATGAAGGGAAGGGCAGGGGAAGAGAATAGCAAAGGCAGTAGAATGAATCAGACATTACTTTCCTATACTATATATGAATATGACCAGTGTAACTCCATATCATGTACAACCACAAGAATGGGGAGTTTTACTCCATGCATGTATAATATGTCAAAATACATTCTACTGTCATGTGTAACTAAAATGGTACATATGTAGTACTGATATGGTACGGTACATAATACTCAATACCCACTGACTAAAAAAATTAAAAAAAAATGTTTTATAACTTAAACTTTCCTAAATATTTATTGTTTTTTTTTAATATCCAATCAATTCCCCTAAAGCCAAATATTCCAAGCATTGCTGTAACCTTGGAGATAACAGTGATTAACACCAATCTCATAGCTTTATAATTACTTCTAAGGCACCATCTCAATCAGCATACTGTAAACTTAGAGAACCTTAAATTCCTGTTCTTGGCTGTCACTAGGGCTTTATTTGGTTGGTTCCCGAGAACTAAATAATTAACTAATTCAACATTTATTGAATCTGACACTAAGCGTCAGATTGTGTATGGGGGAGGTACAGTGGTGAATACAATGGAAATACCATCCTCCTCACAGAATTTACATTTAATAAGGTGATAGATGTAAGTAAAGAGGCAATTACAGTGCCAGATGATAAGTTCCACAATAAGGTAAATGGAAAGTGTAAAGTAGAGCCACCAGATAAAATCTTGGGCACTTATGTAGAGTGCATAAAAAGGCTTAAGGTCTGGACTGAATGCTAAATGGATGAAAAATGCCAAAATAACAATCAAAGAGGAATACATAACTTTAGAGAGTATTTATTATGTGGTAGACATTGTCTTAAGAACTGTACATATCTAGATAAATACACATATATATAACTAATTTATTCAATTCTTACATTCTGTGGGGTATATATTACTATTACCCTCATTTACAGAGGAAATTCAAATTCATACAGCTAGAAAATGGCAGAGGTACAAGTTAAATCTGGACAGTTTGGCTCCAAAATTCAGAGTTCTCAGCCTGTACACTATACTGCTTCTCCAAAGTCTTACAAATTGTTTTCCCTTTCAATTTCCTATTTTCTATAATGGGAACTGTTTTCTTTTTACACATGCTATGTTTTCAACAGCGACAACTACTAGTAATTGATAAAATTAGATCCTTTTAAATTTAGAGTTAAGAAATGGATGGTATTTTGTAATTTAAGTTTAAGGATTGACTAATAATTACCAAAATGTCTAAAAAATATATTTGAAAAACCACTTGGGGCTGGGGATGTGGCTCAGTGGTAGAGCACTCAACTAGCATGTGCGAGGCGCAAGATTCAATACTCAGCACCACATAAAAATAAATAAATAAAGGTATTGTGTCCAACTTCAACTTAAAAAAAAAACAAAAACCTTAAGCTCAATTTATGGCTGACTTTAACTCTTAGAGCAAAAGTAAAATAAAAATACAAGCTAAGGACTATGTTTTTCTACTAATATTGAACGTACATATAACATTATATACCAGTTCTATTCCTAGGGACCTATATAAAAGAACTATAATGTATATTTTCCATAAGACGTGTACTAGGATATTTAAAGAAGCCCTATCTGTAATAGCCCTAAACTGAAATCCTCCCTAAATGCCTATCAATAGGAGACTTAGCAAATAAATTTGTATTATATACCACAATTAAACAACAAACAATAATGAAAATAAATGATCTACTACTATACGCACCGACATAGCTGAATCTCACAAATAAAATGCCAATGAAAGAAGCCAGACATACAAGCATATATTACCATGATACTATATATATACTATAACATGATTCTATTCATATTATGGACAAAATCAGGCAAACGTCATCTATGCTATCAGAAGGTAGAAGAATACTTTCTCACAATGTGGGTGGCTGGAAGGAAGCATGAAGTGACTGATGGGGTTCTGGGAATGTTCTGCTTCTTAGAGTTGGGGATTACACAGGGGTATTCAGTTTGTTAAATTTCATCACATACACTTATGACATGTATACTTTTCTGCATATATGCCCTCCACTAAAAAGTTAAACAGAAGTTGATACTATTTTTATATATTTGGATATGATTTTTAATGAATTGAAAAATTTAACATGCAAGGAAACAATATTACCATCATCATCTAATATCTGAGTACTAATCATGTGGCAGGTACTATGTTAAAATTTTTACTTGGAAAAACCTCTCTTAATCCTCACAAACATTCTATAGAAATGGGTATAACTGTTAGCTCCATTTACTGATGAGAAAATTGGAAACTCAGGGAAATTAAGTAATGTGCTAGAGTACAAAACAAAGTCAGATAATTCTAACTCTAGAGAATATATTAACCATTTTGCTATACTAAATTTTCAGTGAAGAATTAAGTTGGATACATCAAGCCAAGAGAGAGCCAGGCACAGTGGTGCACACCTGAAATCCCAGCAACTTAGGAGGCTGAGGCAGGTGGATTGAGAGTTCAAAGCCAGCCTCAGCAATGGGGAGGTGCTAAGCAACTCAGTGAGACCCTGTCTCTAAATAAAATACAAAATAAGGCTGGGGATGTGGTTCAGTGGTCGAGTGTTCCTGAGTTCAATCCCCAGTACCAAAAAAAAAGGTAAGAAATATTCGAAAATGTTTATCTATATTATATTAGTTCAAGTGGAACCTCTAATTGGGAGGAAAAATTAGTCATAGTATGGTGTGCCAAGCAAGAGCCTAAACAACTTTTTCCTATAATCAAAGTACTTTCTTTAGTTCAATGTATTTATTCATGCCTAAGAAAATGTAAATAAATGTGGAGGGTTTTTTTGTTTTTTTTTTCCCCTTTCTTTTTTTTGGACCAGAGATTGAACCCAGGGGCCCTCAACCCATGAGCTACAGTCCTAGTCCATTTTATTCCTTATTTTGAGACAGGTTCTCACTAAGTTGCTGAATCTGTCTTTGAACTTGCTATCTTCCTTCCTCAACCTCCAGAGCTGCTGGGATTACAGGCATGTGCCACTATACCCTGGGTTAAATTTCTAAAAATCAACTCTACTTCCCTACTCAATTTTATGACTTTTTTACTCAATAACATAATGTATTTAAGATACCACAGCATGTGAGGTAAGTATTATTGCAGCTAAGCTATGTCAGTGAATGGTATCTGAGAATAGGTTGATGATTCACATTCACAGTACAGAGTTACCAAAAAATTTTATGAATGGAAACAAAACAAATGCATTATGTACAGTTTTAACATAGGTAACACAAGGGAAAACAATTCCATAATCAGTTAAAGCATTTGGTAATTTACCAACATTAAATTTACCTCTTTGGAGGGGATAGCGGGAGACGTGAATACTGTCATCCAATAGGACCACACAAACATAACAAAGAACAGATGGAAAGCCACAAGGTAAACAACGGTCTTTCCTGGTAAATAAAAACAAATAACATTTCATTGAATTCAGGTGAAAACAGGAAAAAGCATTACATTAAAACACAGTATGTGGGTCAGGAGACCTAATCCAATAAAAAATTTAATTAAGACATACTAAAACATCAAATATATAAACTCTTTTATCTTTATGATGTAATATTATATTTGAAGAAATATTCTGTTCCTGAATTTAAGGACTATCAGACTGGTTTACAAATAAAGACCACAGCCAGAGAAGAGATTTGATTTTATAAAGTTGCTGAGGATTTGAGCTAAAAAAAACTTCATTTATTCGCTATATTTCAGTTCTCCCTAAACAATAATTTTAAATGACTTAAACATTATTTAAAATGATCCATCACTATAAACATTAAATCCAAGGAACTAAAAACTGAAAATAAATAACTTATAATCCCCAAGAATAATAAGTAAAATTGAGTAACTTAATCCCTGTATTATTTGCAAAAAGTATTCTAAATTTCATTTTGCTGTTCAACATAGGCTAATAAGAAAACTTTTTAGTCACTCTAAATTTCTACCTTAACTGTTTCCCAAGTTGATGTAACATTTCAACATCTTTATCTCCAAATGTTAACTCGATGATATAACTTCTAAAGCTTTTTGTTGTGTTCTGGGAGTTTTTCTATTTGAAAGAAGTAGAACTAGTTTACAATAAGCAAGAGCTATGTACCAGGTAGCTGAACTGTTTTTCAGTTTGTAATGCAGCAACACAAACCCACTGAAGATAACAAAGTATAAAGTGTAAAAAGTCTGAAATTCTACTCATTTTTAAAGTTCAGATCAAATAGTATTTCTTCCACAAAAAAGTCTTCTCCATTATTTTCAGAATTCATAGTTACGCTGCATTTTTCCAATCCCTTTCCTTAGACTTCAATTAAAACCCCTTTTGAATAAAGTTAATTGCCTAATACTGATGAACAAATATATGCAAACACAGTAGTGCCTGGTACATAATAAATCCTCAACAAATACTGGCTGTTATTATCATTACTGTCCAAGTATCTTAATTCTTATTATAAAGCTAACACATATTATAAAGCTAGCACTGACCTTCCTTTTCTTTTAGTCTGAGATTATTTTTCCTTATATTTTGGTTTTAAATAATGTTCGTTCTTTTTAAATTAAAAAATAATAAAACTTGACAACCTTATTAGAACCCAGCCTTTTTTTTTTAATTATACTGGTTCATTTCAGAGACTGGACGCTGGGGTCACACAGCTAATTGATGCAGGGACCCAAGCCTCAAGTAGCTCCCCGTATCTTCTGGGTAATCAGTACAATTATTTTCAACTCTAATTTCTTCTCACTGTTTTCACTGCCAGTGCCTACGCTGCCCATCTCATTTGGATTGCTGCAAAAGTAAAACTGGTCTCCTTGCTTCCTGTCTCTTGCTTACATCTTCACGGCTAATGCTAAATGTGTTGCTCTAGTTTCTTCTCCCCCTGGACTCTGAGAATTCCTGGAAAGTAACTCCATCTGCAGGGCCAATGCATCCTAATAAAACTCTGGGATTTTATAGTCACCATATTCAACTTCCGCTACTCAAATAATCATTCCAACCAACTTAGAACACATATATTGTATGCTTTGTTTCCAATCCTCACAGTAGTCTTTTACGATATTTTTTGAGTTCATAAACAAACAGTGAGGTTCAGAGAATTTAGTAATTTGTGCAATGTCACTTATTTACTAAATGATAATGCCAGAATTCAACCCCATATCTGTTTGATAAGAATCCAAGGTCCTTTTCATTGTCATCCCTGAAACAGAATTCTCCTCCACTTTTTTTTTTTTTTTTTTAACCATTATCTAAATGGTCATTCTACTTCTGAGCCAACATTTGCTGCCAAAATAAAACTCTAACTACAACTTCCTTCTATTTTAAAGTGTGCTCTTTTCACTTCTGCTATTATTATTATTGACAATGAAAATTCTGGCTTCTCAAAATCTGCATTTCTCTATGCTTTCAGCACCCTCTAGCCCAAACCAAAATATAATGAACCCAAAGGACTCCAAATCAGCATTTTATTTGTTTTTTCTTTGGAAAAACACGAGGGAGCTTAGGCTTCTATTGTGACACCAACTATGAGGCCATTTATCAATTTACTCTGCATGTTATCTTCACATAGTTTATTTTTTGCCTGGCCCCCATATTCAACCAAGCTTGTCATTCCTCATTTAAACACTGTTATATAGCTTAAAGATAAATAGCAACACTAAGGTCCTCAAACTTCTTAAGCATTTACTTACAACTAAGACAGGCATGCAAAAAATATTCTTGAAATATTTTAACATTTAATATCTTTTTACATATTTCTGCTCTATAGGACAATAAAGCAAACAGCTTACTTTAAAATATATTAATTCTCAGTTAAATAAAAAAAATAGATATTAAGTCTGTAGTACAATGTTTGGAATATAGTAAGTATTTAAAAGATGGTAGTTATTAAATTATAACCAAGTAAATATAATATTCTTTATTATGTTAAAAAATGATAGACACCAATGCTTGTAACTGAGTTCAATTCATGTGACTGTTAATAATTACTTGTATAAGCTATTGGTTACAAATAATAAATAGGGTAAAATTTTTGTTAACTAAGCATGTTAAAGCTCAAAGAAAAAATCTGAACTTATCAATCAAAAGTCTGGGTTCAAAAGTCAACCTATAATTGAATTAACAAACATAAAAGTTTATAACAGGATTCTTTAAGAGACATGGTAAAAATAACCCATACTTTCAATATATAGGAAATAATTCTGATGTAACCGATAGGCCTACCAAGATGGACTCTGTTTCTTCCGTTACTGAAAAATTAGATTTAAGGGCAAAAATTTGATTTATATGCTTAATATCTAATTATCTCCAGTAACAAGAATAAATCTTTATTCATAATTTCTAACTGTCCAACTGTTTAAGAAATTCTGTTTTTTTCTATTAAAATCAATTTTTATTTTGAAATTTGATCCTCAATGGATTTCTGAAGTTTTCTTTTATTCTGGCAAAATTGTAAGAAAGGATTTTTTTCCCTCTAAGTATTGTCTCTTTGATTATTCATTATAAAAACTTTAATTTCTTTGACTCATAATACAATTTATATCTCTTTGATTATTCATTATAAAAACTTTAATTTCTTTGACTCATAATACAATTTACAAACTTATTATTATTATTATTTTTTTCTAATTGGTCTATTCACTTGAATCATGCCTGCATCATCAAGGAACAAAATGTGCCCTTCTGAATAATCTGATGCAGGATTTCTCAAAATTACATGTGTATGGATATCCCTTTGAAACCTTATTAAAAGGCAGAATCTGATTTAATGGATGTGGAATAAAGTCTGAACTGCTTCATTTATAAGCTCATACATGATGCTGATATTGTTTTATAGATCACATTCTAAGAAGCAAGGATCTTGGCAAAACCTTAATTGTTTATGTGACTCATTAACAATTTATAATCTTAAAGCATGGTTATTTTACTAAATATCTTTGAGTTGGAAAGTGCTATTTTCAACAAATTTGTAAGCAAGAATACCATCAATGAGATTTAGTCATAATAAAAGCAGAATTCCCTCTCCTCAACTAAAATTCATATTAAGAATTTAAATAGAGAGTTCTGAAGAACATACAACACAAATTTCAAAATTTACCCAAAGAAGTTTGAGTTCTAGGAGCCTTACAAAATAATGGCTATCTCAATTTATACAAATAATACAAAATGAGAATACACCGAGTGGGAATAAACCCAATACTGCATCTCCTTTAATTACTTAAAATTTAAAGATACAAATTTTCTTTTTGAAAAGCAAAAATAAGTATTCATTACTAAAAACTATGAGGAGTGCAATTAATATACTATAAGTCTTAAAATAATACTATAAGTGCCTTACCAGTTTCTTCATTTCCAGAAATAGTAACTAGAATAGAAGAAAAAAGAGTGAATATACTTTAAACATTTTGTACATAAATTTAAATTCAAGTTGAATATTCATCTTAATATCATTTTCATAAACTTCAAAAACATTAAAATAATGTTCAAAATTTTTTTAATATTTATTTTTTTAGTTTTAGGTGGACACAATATCTTTATTTTATTTTTATGTGGTGCTGAGGATTGAACCCAGTACCTCATACATGCTAGGAGAGCACTCTACCACTTGAGCCACAACCCCAGCCCATCAAATTCTTTATCATCAACATTACAGTTACTTAAGAACTTTTGTCAATTTTTTGCAGGGGGAGGGTACCAGGGATTGACTCAGGGGCACTTGACCACCGATCCACACCCCCAGCCTATTATGTATTTTATTTAGAGACAGGGTCTCACTGAGCTGCTTAGCGCCTCAAAATTGCTGAGGCTGGCTTTGAACTTGTGATCCTCTGCCTCAGCCCCGCAACCACTGGGATTACAGGCACACGCCACTGCACCAACTTAGAACTTTGTTAATTTTAGGTGCATTAACATAGTTAATAGCTGTGACATTTTCTTTAGCTCTTTGCTTAATGAAACCTTAAGAATGAACAGAACCATCCTCTATGGTACTCATAACTTATTCACTAGTCTGTGATGCACCTTACCAACTTCTTTGTGAAGGCTATATTCAAGATAAATTTCCTTTTTAGGAAAACTGATGCTTGGCTGGGGTTGTGGCTCAATGTACAGCACCTGCCTAACACATGCGAGGCCCTGGGTTTGATCCTCAGCACCACATAAAAATAAATAAAATAAAGGTATTGTGTTCAACTACAACTAAAAAATAAATATAAAAAAAGAAAACTGATGCATATTAATTATATTTAGGGGTACACTGCAATAATTTAATACATATTTATGATGAAGAATGATCTCAAATCAGGGTAATTAGCATTTCCATCTCCATCTTCTTATACATTTATTATTTCTTTGTGTTTAGAGCCTTCAAATTCCTGCTTTACAGTTCTTCATAAAACATATAATAGGTTGTTGTAAACTATAGTTATCATATTGTGCTGTAAAACACCAGAACTTCTATCTAATAGTGTTTTGGTATCTGTTATACAATGTTCCTCTCTTCTCCCTCCCCTCTACCTTTTCTAGCTTCCAGTAATTACAATACTACTTTCTTCTTTGAGATTAACTTTTTTAGCTTCTACATGAGTGAGAACATGTTTTATCAAATTTCTTTTTTTTAAAGATCTTTATTTTGTTCATTTAGGTTTTTTTTTTTTTTTTAAATTGTGGTACTCAGGATGAGGCATTCTAGGCAAGCGCTCTACCACTGAGCCACAACCCCAGCCGAGACAGACAAATTTCTTTTTTGACAGGAATAAAAAGTAGAGGAACTTATTCCTATAATTTTTAGAGTATTTTCTCTGAACACCTAAATACTTAAGAAATTAAACTAGGCACAGAAAAGTTAATTTATTATCTACCGCTTTTATGCATTTTCCATCTTGTATTACTATTTTTTTTTTTAAATACCAGGGACTGAAAACCAGAGGTGCTTAACCACTAAGCCACATCCCCAGCCCTTTTTAATTTTTTATAATTTTGAACAGGGTCAAAATTAAGGCTGGCTTTGAACTTGTGATCCTCTTGCCTCTGCCTCCCAAGTCATCGGGATAACAGGCTTGTGCTGCCATTACTGGTTGTTATTACTATCTTGATGAATACAACTGCAGTCTAACCCTGACAACTCGGGAAATTACTATTTTTTCTTTCTTTCTGGATGGTCCAAAGTTCTAATGATTCTAAATCTATTTTAAATTTGTCAATTCTTCTTTAGTCCCTACCAATGCCTTCCTCAAATGCAACAGCTATAGCATCTTCCCACTATCAGTTTAATACACCCTTACCACTAGCAAATAGGATAGTTTGAATACTCTTCAATACCTGAGTCACTTTCAGAATAAAGTGCAAAATCTTCAGGGTAGCAAACATTACAGGTTTGCCATAATCTCTATTGCTTTAGTCTCATTATGCCGCACAATTTTATTTTCTATTTTGAGCAATTTCCTGAAGATATCAAGCAAGTTTACACGTACAGTGTGCTATCCATTTTCAGGGCTACCCCCCACCCCCAATATTTTATTAGTTGTTGGTGGACCTTTATTTATTTATATGTGGTGCTGAGAATTGAATCCAGTGCCTCACACATGCTAGGCAAGCACTCTACCACTGAGCCACAACCCCATCCCCTTCAGGGCTCATTTTGAATACTACCTCCTTTGTAAAACCTTCTGGAGTCCCTCTTTAGGAAAAAACACTCCTTTGTATCACCACTGTTCACTCTTCCATGTCAGGCACACTTTATCACTTTACCATACCATCTCTCTCACTTTTCTTTCCCCCCAATTACTGGTGACATATTTGTCTCACTCTACTAAAGAACTAAAGTGTGGAATCATACAGTAGAACAATAACAACGCTGGAACGTTATAGTTCCATCTCATAAATAGGTAAACAAAGGCTCAAAATAGTTGAATGATTTGCCCAGGGTCACAGAGTATATTAAGTGTGGACATGATTTGAACTAAAAATTTGTTTGCACTTGTATTTCCTATAATGTCTCTCATTATTATTCCTTATCTCAATGCCTGATGCACAATAGCAATGCTTAAGAAATGTTTATTGTTTCAGGTACAGTGGAGCACGCCTGTTATCCCAGGGACTCAAAGGCTGATGCAGGAGGATTGCAGGTTTGAAGACAGCCTCAGCAACTTACAAGGCCCTAAGCAACTTAGCGAGAACCTGTCTCAAAATAAAAAGGGCTGGAGATGTAGTTCAATGGCAAAGTGCCCCTGAGTTCAATCCCCAATACATAAAAGAAAGAAAGGTTGGTTGTTTGACTGCCTCAAAATTCAGTTTTGACTAAAATCTCTTGATAAAATTAGAGAACACAACTATTTCCTTAACAAAACAAAATATATCTACTTCAATCCCAAGCCAGCATAATTTATAACACTAAAAAAATATTCCTACTAAAGTCAGGTACAAGTTTTTGATTACTTTTTTCTTTTAAATGATGTTTTAATTCAGATATCTTAGATTTGTCAGGCAGGGCCTGGGATAGTTAGATCTTATGTATATCATTTGTATCCCATACAGCATTTCCTACCAAAGTGTACACTAAAAACATTATCATTTCCTTACTGGTATAAAAACTGAAAAGAAAACAAATGTTATCACATTGTTGTTGTTGTTATTTTTGGTATAGGGGATTTAATTCTGGGGCACTTCACCACTGAGCCACATCCCCAGACCTTTTTATTTTCTATTTTGAGATAGGGTCTCATTAAATTGCTTAGGGCCTTGCTAATTTGCTACGGCTGGCCTCAAACTTGCAATTCTCCTGTCTCAGTCTCCTGAGTCCCTGGGATTATAGCAGTGTGCCACAGTACTCCGACAAATGTTGCAACTTTTTTTTTTTTTGAGGGAGAGACAGAGAGAGAATTTTTTTAATATTTATTTTTCAGTTTTCGGTGGACACAACATCTTTATTTTTTATGTGGTGCTGAGGATCGAACCCAGCACCCTGCACATGCCAGGCAAGCGAGTTACCACTTGAGCCACATCCCCAGCCCATGTTACCACTTTTGGAAGCTAAAATAAGTTTATTTCTTGCTGGTCAAAGAAAATAAATTGAACAACTATTATAAACAAGAGGTCATAGTGTACAAAATCTGATATGCAGAATCAACACATTTCCTATCAAAAATCCGATAAGCAGAATCAACTCATTTTCTACTACTTGCAATCATTAGAAGTGACAGTTGATCTTAAGTTTTACTTACAAAGGTGTCTAAAATATAAAATATATAAATGAAAGAAATGAGCAAGACTTACATAGGTAAAAACATTTTAATTCTTCAGAGGGACACAAAATAAAATGTAAACAAGTGGAAAAGTAATGTTCTCCATAGGATGAGTCATCATTCAAACGTTAATTGTCCCTTAATCTGCTTTTTCACTTTTTTTTTTTGATAGAGAGAGAGAGAGAGAAAGAGAATTTTTTTTAATATTTATTTTTTAGTTTTCGGCGGACACAACATCTTTGTTTGTATGTGGTGCTGAGGATTGAACCCAGGCCCCACGCATGCCAGGCGAGCATGCTACCGCTTGAGCCACATCCCCAGCCCAGCAGTGCTAGGATTTAAACCCTGGTCCTCATACATGCCAGGTAAGCACTCTACCACTAGGCTTCATTTCTGGGCAAATCTTCCCTAATCATAAGTTTATCCCAATAAAGATTTTTTAAAATAATTTGATGGACTCTAAAGTTTATTTGTTTAAAAAAAACTTGCATAAAGAAGTAGGAAAATGCTGAGTACAGAGAATAATGAAGTAAGACTAATCATGCCAAATACTAAAGCATGGGCTGGGGTTGTGGCTTGTCTAGCACGTGTGAGGCCCTGGGTTCGATCCTCAGCACCACATAAAAATAAAGGTATTGTGTCCAACTACAACTAAAAAAAAAGTATAGTCATGTGGGGCTGGGGCTGTAGCTCAGTGGCAGAGCACATGCTACTGGGGCTGTAGCATGTGTGAGGCACTGGGTTTGAGTCTCAGCACCACATAAAAACAAACAAGTAAAATAAAGGCATTCTATCCATCTACAACTACAAAAAAATAATTTAAAAAAGTACAGTCAAGTGTTGCTTAACAATGGGAACATGTTCTGAGAAGTAGCAATTCCAGTGTTATGTAAACATCGTAATATAGTGTTTTAATACAAATCTAGATAACACGGGTCAATCACTATGTGGTCTTTTGATGTAATCAAGAGATGCAATAAGAGCCAGGTACAGTGTTTCATGCCTATAATCCCAGCAGCTCTGGGAGGCTAAAACAGGAGGATTGTGAGTTCAAAGCCAGCTTGTCTCTAAATAAAATACAAAAAAGGGCTGGGGATATGGCTCAGTGGTCGAGTGCCCCTGA